CAACGGTCCTGAAATCCCATGCTTTAATTGTGGAAGACTTTTCTTAACGCGGGCAGGTCTTTTTAGTCACACTCGCCATCGCCATGGGCTGTGAGTCCTATGCCTCCTTATAGCGCTGTATAACACTATCGTCTGGAAAGACAAAAAGGTGCTAATTATCAATTATAACTACGTATATCTTTATGTGCACGTCTACCTGCTCTGTACTGTACGTTTTCCTAATACCGTTTCGACCTCGGTTTGCAAAGGTACCCCGGGGTCAGCAACTTAATTCGTTCTTTGACCCTGAACCGAAAACAATTTCCCCCATTGAACTTATGCAAATCCAATTAATCCGTTCTTTGACTCTAAAGCAAAACAATTGTTCCCCATTGAAATTAATCCAAATCCAATCAATCCGTTCTTTGACTCTGAACCGAAACGATTTTTCCCCGTTGAACTTAATTCAAATCCAATTAATCCGTTCTTTGACTCTAAACCAAAACAATTTTTCCCTAATGAACTTAATGCAAATCCAATTAATCCGTTTGCTTTATCTCTATAATGGAGGGAAGAGGGGGTGGGGGGTGTTAAACAGCTTCTGAAAAGAATATAATTTTGACATTGAAACTCTTTGGCATGTTATGAAGGATATTGTTCAAATTGTGCACAGGAATATCCTAGGGTTCAGGAAAATCAGTTGACATTCTTTTGAATCTTGGTAACATAGTTGTTGGGCATACGGTTTTTCCCGTCAACAAACGGTGATTTCATCGTGTATGGTTGTGATTTTGGGAAGTTGACTAGTTCTACTACTCGTTTTGATTGATATTCATTCAATTTCAAAAGATGTCAGTCAGATACCCAAAATGAAATAATATGAATAGAAAATCATGAAAGCTGGTGTATTGCAAAGCACCAGTTGGTAACAGGAAAGAAGTGTTGTCCCGCTAGTCTGAGACAAACTTAGATGTCTTAAGGCTGAAGTGTTACACCCGTTCTCATTCTATACTCCTCCAGTCTTCATGGAAACAACTCGGCCTAATATGTCCATCCTGGCACTTCCTGGCCACCGAATGATCTGTAACTGTTGATAATTGGGCCACACTCTTCATCATTATCCTACATAGTTTCCAGGTCGCTCATTGGCTCGCCGGTAGACGACTTCGTCGCTGGTCTGGACAGTTTTTAGGTCTGTCTCTTTTGATCGCTTCAGTACCGCAGAAGTTCTTTTCACGGCTCTTAGTAGCATGTAATGCTAAGACATTTTGTGTGGCGCAAATAACCTAGTCACAATTATAACCTTAAGCTTCCCTTTCGGGCATGATGGTTAAACGTGACGATTTTTTTCTTCAACATAGCACCTACCTACCTACCTACCATTATTATTCTGTTACGAAAAACCAGCGGTTAAACATCTGATCCTATCAGACCGTGGGACTATGGTCTAAAACTTTCTCTCTCCCCTATGGCAGCTGTATGGCATTTGTGCTTTAAGAACCTAATTGTGACATTAGGGGGCCGAGTGGTCCTGAGGCATGGTGTCCGCCTGGAGTGCTAGAGGTTTTGTGTTCAATCCCCGGTCAGGGCTGGGATTTTTTTTTTCACGTGAACTTGGACTTCTAGTAATTCCCCGAGTCTCTGGGTAATAAGATAGGACGCCCGTGTGCATTGTTGCATCCTTTGGCAGTTGGAAATGGAAAAGAGTAGCCTAACGGCTCTACCCGGGCAAAAATTTGGAGTAAAACATCTACCCAAAATATTTCAGGATCCTCGCCGGTGCTAAAAAGCCTGTGCACTGTTCTCAACTTCTTCGGACTCAGACTTGAGTTAGAAGAAGAACATAGCACCTGTGGGTTACTACCTGTGTGCCATGATGTTGATACGTTGTTCAAACCTCAAACCTCAAACTTCAAACCTCAAACTTCAAACCTCAAACATCAAACAAATTTTGACACATTAATTACTGCACCTAAAAGTCGCCATAGAAATACATTCATATTTACTTACTGGGTCATAGAAGGCAGGGAAAGGCTGGGTACCATAGGATATACTAGTCAGAAATTTAAAAATAAAGACACACTAGATTAGAATAACTGATCTCCAAATGCCATTGTCACATTAAATAGACAGTTTTTACAGAGTCAGTCAATAGCCTAAATGTGACCACTTTTTTTTCCCAAATGTGTTTAATATAAATATAATATAATTAATATAATAAAATTAATGTAATGCTATAGAAAAATTCTCAGAATATCTTGGACAAAGAAGAGGTAAAATACTGACATGTTGAAGAATCTGAACATCAAGGAAGATTGGCTAATAAACAGCATCCTGTCTCGGAAGCTGAAATATTTTGGTCATATCAAGCACCACGACGGATTGGAACAATTATAGCAGAAGGAATGGTACCAGAAAGGAGGGGCAGAGGCCGACTGACACGAAGATGGGCACTGGATATAAGTGATTCCCTGAGTATCAAAGTACATGAGGTGGGAGAACTGGCAAGAGACCGAGTTTCTTTCAGGCAGACTGTGATGAGAGCGACGTTTTGCAAAGAACCTGCTACATAATGATGATAATGATGTTTAATATTTCCAGATAATTATGAAAATTATCGTGCACTAATTTAAAGCACTGGGTTGACCCCAAGGTCGTTATGATTAGGAGTGTGTGATGACCTGTGGTCCACACTGGAAGGTAACAAGAGAAAGAAGAAGGTGCTACTGGACAGTCACCCAGTTCAGTGATTCCCAAACTGTGCGCCGCGGCGTCCCGAGAAGCCGCGACCTCTACACGGGGGCGGCGCAAATTTTTCGAAGATACACGAGTTTTATTTGTTTTAATCTCTCACATACGCGCTTTTTTTATTAATTGCGTATCCATTACAAGACGTTGCAGAACCAACTCCAGCACTTTCTGTCTGTAGTGGTTTTTCTAGGCAAATTTACGTCCAGTAGTTTGCCATTGCTTTTGGACGGTCGGCTCTCGGTACCACGGTCGAAACTATCGCAAGACAAACCGTCCGCAGGCGGCACCCCGACATTACAAAGCGCGTTCGCAACGCCTAAGCCACAGATGCCGACCACATACGAATAGTCATACTTTTACTTAGGTTAGGGAGGGGAGGAACATTTTTAATTGAAAAAAGGTGCCGCGACTAAGAACAGTTTTGGAAACACTGACCCAGTAGATTTATGTTGCTGTGAAAGTAGGAAAGTTGGAGGAGAAAAGAGAGTGAGGAAGACTGAGAGAGAAGGTGCTGGACAGTTTAACATTATGGCATGATTGATCTTATGTGTTGGAGTTGATTGCATTTACACGAAATAGAAGATTGTGGATAGACATGACTACTAACACACTACACAGCATGACTGTAAGAAGAAGAAAAACAATTAAACGTGTTGTAGTACTGTCTTTAGGCAGACTCCCCCCCCCCCCAAAAAAAAAGGGGGGGGGGGGCATCAGGAAGCCAGAGCCCACAGGTTCTGACGCTGTCTGATTGGGAGATGAGTTTTCTGTGAATTAACTCAATATTTATTTCCATGAAGAAGTCTGCTAAACAAGAAGTGGAACTAGTCACACAAAAAACACAATAATGGAAGACGTGACCAGAAAGCCTTTATCAGCATACAAAACAAAACAAAACCACTGACAACTACATAGAAAACAGCATATAATGACAGCACAGCTTAGAGGTTAGTGAATGCGTTTTACAATTTCACAATCTTTGGCAAACCAGGGTATGTTTTGTGCAGAAGACCGTTTATTTAAAAAATCACTTTCAGTACATTTTGACAGAAGTATAAGAGTCACACTATGGAAGAGATGTGGGCCTCACCCTGTAGTATTCTAAAAGACAGCAGGGGCACTGCAGATAACCTTTATTGTGAAGACAGTATACGTATTTAAAGCTTTCTCATTTGTGCTCGCATTCTTGTCATGTATCTCCCCCCTGCCAGGCTCGCTTATAATTTGATAGATGATCAATACTAAACTGCAGTGACAGTGTTCATAGTCCTTCATATTCTTTCTCCCTCTTCCTGCTGTCAACTGTTATCACTTGTGTTGTTCTCCATCCTCTGTATCCGTCTCCAAACTTCAAAACTCTCTTGTGAAAAACATTTTCACTATTCAAGTCTTAACATTTGTACACGTAGTGTTAGCTTATATAATTCAGTTGGATACCCCCTTCTTGTCTCAAGATAATTACTTTTATATTTATTTCCCAAAGTCCTTTATAAGATCATTACATTTATTCCCCCCAGCCCTTCATAAGATCATTACATTTATATTCATTTCCCCCAGCCCTTCATGAGATCATTAAATTTATATTCATTTCCCCCAGCCCTTCATAAGATCATTACATTTATATTCATTTCCCCCAGCCCTTCATAAGATCATTACATTTATATTATTTCTCCCAGCCCTTCATAATATCATTATATTTATATTTATTTCCCCCTTCCTTTCTTAAGATCATTACATTTATATTTATTCCCCCAGCCTTTCTCAAGATCATTACATTTATATTTATTCCCCCCAGCCCTTCTCAAGATCATTACATTTATATTTATTGCCCCTAGCCTTTCTCAAGATCATTACATTTATATTTATTACCCCCAGCCCTTCACAAGATCATTACATTTATATTTATTACCCCCAGCCCTTCACAAGATCATTACATTTATATTTATTCCCCCCAGCCTTTCTCAAGATCAGTACATTTATATTTATTTCCCCCAGCCTTTCTCAAGATTATTACACTTATATTTATTACCCCTTTTCTTCTCAAGATCATTAGATTTATATTTATTTCCCCTAGCCTTTCTTAAGATCATTACATTTATATTTATTACCCCTTTTCTTCTCAAGATCATTACATTTATATTTATTAACCCCATTCCTTCTCAAGATCATTACATTTATATTTATTTCCCCCTTTCCTTCTCAAGATCATTACATTTATATTTATTACCCCCATCCCTTCTCAAGATCATTACATTTATGTTTATTTCCAGGAGATCTCGGAGAATCCTGTGTTTGCTGACGAAGGTACAACCTACAATGATGTGGATCAGGGAGACCTGGGTAATTATTTACTTTCTTCATCTTCTTCTGTCCTCCTACGGCTATGCCATCAAGCATTGCAGAGAGGAGTTTAATGTAGTTTTCTGTCTTTCGCTAGTTGCATAGTTTGAGTTACTGTCATACCGAATTTCTGTAGTGTGTCTTTTACTCCCTCCGCCCGTCTCTATCTTGGCCGGCCTCTTGCCTTGTAGTCTACTGTTCTGGTGTAGAATGTTCCAGCTGCTGGCGTTTGTTACCTTCTGACGAGATGAGCAAATTATATGATTCTTTGATGTTCTGTGAAATCACTTACGAGTACTGTGCCTACCATTTTCTTAGTTCTCCATTACACCAGAGTCTATCTCTTCTTATTCTTCCTGCCCCACTTCTTATACATCTCATTCCTGTGTGGGTTCTGGGGGCCCCATTGTGGGAAAATAAAAAAATAGACCAACTGCCTCCCCAACAAGCATGTCGTTGGAGACGACTAACTGGGGACTTCCTTCCAAGTCAGAGAGAGAGAGAGAGAGAGAGAGAGAGAGAGAGAGAGAGAGAGAGAGAGAGAGAGAGAGTCAGTGAGAGAGAGAGAGAGTGAGTGAGAGAGAGAGAGAGAGAGTGAGAGAGAGAGAGAGAGAGAGAGAGAGAGAGTGAGTGAGAGAGAGAGAGAGTGAGTGAGAGAGAGAGAGAGAGAGAGAGAGAGAGAGAGAGAGTGAGTGAGAGAGAGAGAGAGAGAGAGAGAGAGAGAGAGAGACACACACAGACACACACACACACACACGACACGACAGGACAGGACACCACACCACACCACACCACACACACACACACACACACACACACACACACACACACACACACACACACACAACACACACACACACACGACACACGACACACACACACACACACACGACACACGCAACAACAAGAACAAAAAGAACTCATTGCCTTTAAATATAAGTGCTTACTTGACGAGTCTAACAGTTACTATTGTACAAACCACATTTTCCACTTTGAAATTTCAACCAAAATGTAACCACAACCTTACTTATCTGCTGCACCTTTATAAATACAGATGGAGGATCGGTCGCAACTCGAGATAAATACAAAGACAATTTTTAGCATGCTGCGGTTGGCATTTTATGCAGTATGATACATTTTCAAAGTGAAAAAAGTAATTTAAAAAAAAAAACTTTTTTTTGACAGTGGCGAGGAAAGAAAATTTAAATGTTAACTTTTAAGTATCTTCATGCCTTCTTTAATAATGTCACAATTTATAGCTGACTTTTCTTGATTTTTGCTGCAGAACCCCTGGCATATGCACCAAATTTGAGAGCCTCTGTTGTAATGCCTCGGTCGAGTCAGCAGGCAAAGACCTTGCCAGCTGCAGCCAGGTCGCAGTTTCGCGTGCTACGACAGACTTAGGCAACAGCAACTATTGTGTTAATGAGAGAGTTATTTCAGTCCATCGCAGTGTATTCAGAAACGGGTGTAAGGTAACCACTATTCGTATTCGGCCTGACTGCAAGTATGCGCCGAATACCGAATAGTTATTAGGTCCACTATTCAGCCGCGAAGCGAATACGAAGTCAATATTCGGTACAGCCCTGTTAGTTATACATTCATAGACTGGATTTTTTGCATTTCATATAACAATTGTAAAACCCATTTGAATAAAAAAGTCTCGGTTGAAAGTCAAAGTGACCACACTGTTGTATACAGTTGTCTGATTTCATTAGCCATTTCCAGGCATTATTATGCTGATCACTGTTGTTGTTTTGTGGTTCATTGACAGGAAACTGCTGGTTTCTCTCATCTGTGTGTTGCCTGGCAGTGTCCCCCCACAAGGACCTTCTGTCTCGGGTCATCCCATCAGGTCAAGGCTTTGGTCCTGAATACACAGGTGAATATTGATATTATATATGTTATAGACAAACATATATTATATTTATAATAAACAAACAGGTAATGAACTGATCGGCACTCATAGAAAGAAGCAGAAAGATAGAAGGACACTCTAGACAACATAAAAATTGAAAGCTTTAGTTACCACGCCAAAAATCAAACCTGTCAGGTAAATATTGAACAATTGGTGTCTTCCCTGTTTTGCGGCCTCATATTCTGAGGCGGTGGGGGGGGGGGGGGGGGGGGGGGGGGGCAGACCTTCTGCCTCCCTAGCAAACATATAATACAAGACAACTAATTAGGGGAGTTCCCTTCGAAGCCAGAGCACACCTGCCTGAGAGGCAAAGAACCAACAGTGTGCATACACATAAGCCATATCTGTAAAATGAATCTGCGTGCAAAACTCAGGTTCTGGGAAAAGACTGGCGTCCAGAAGTGGATGAAAAGCCAGAATTTTTCCACCAGAGTTGACAGCTGGTAAAAAAAAAGAAAAGAAAAAGAAGAATATGCATTTAAGTCACTGAACAACATTACAAGGGGTCTCTGGTTCAGCTGGCCAAAAGAGCAGGAAACAGAACCTCGTATCTCCCACATCACCTGAAGTCGTAATGTAGGAAGTGAAGCAGAAGATGTAGAAGAAAGTGAAGTGGAAAGGGAAATTGTGATTATGTTAATCAGAAGAGTTTAAGATATTCAGAATGATTGTGGGGCATACATATAACATAAGCTTTTTTTAGAAGAAAAAATATTAACATATAAAAAAACAAACTTTTGTGCATTTTGTGCAAATTATACAGTCTTCTTCTTCAGCATTCCAATCCCTTGAGGTTCATTGCTGTAGATATCACCTGCCTCCATTCATCTCTCTGGCTGGCATACAGTCACCTTAACAAAGCTTCCTGTTTTCTTTTTTTCTTGTACTTCATGCCTGTGTGATGTTGGTGACTTAGTGAAGTTTGTTTATGAAGTTGTATTAGTGTCCTTTTGTTCTGGAGTTCTCCAGGATTCTGATATCACATTATTAGAAGGGATGAATTAGAGTACATAATGACAGTGAAAAGTTAGAGGGTTAAATGAATATAGAAGATGCTGACTTGTTGTATCTTTGCATTGAGAATCAACTTTGTCAGAAATGAATAAAAGTAGACAGCTGGCTATGCCAACATCATCCATCATGGAGTGTAAGATTACCCCCCCCCCCCCACACCCCCTTTCCCCCAAAAGAAAAGTTTTCATAAAGACTTTTTGGTGTTTTCATTTATTTTGTTAATCGTATTTTAATTTTAATTTTTATTTTTATTTTTATAAAGCTGATTAGTTTTGTCTGCATTTGTCAGCTTACCCTAGTGGTAAAGTAGACATAACTTGATTGTCCTTACATTAGATCTCACAGACGTCTTTTTTTGTCGTCTCACTGATACCAGGTTGTAGCCCAGTGTCATGGTCTTCTGTATTTGTCCAGCACTTCTCGGGTGGCTTGTGTGATGGATTTGTTCATCTTTTTGTGCAGGTTTTATCTACACCATTTATCCATCTCTTGGTTTTTCTCTCGCTTTCCTCCCAGATGTTCTGCTGTAAAAAGTCTTATATGCAGTCTGGTATGGCTACGTTCTGACTAGATGGCCGAACCATTATAATCTAGACATGGTCTTATTACAACTTTCTCTCTTATCTTGTATTTGTAACCCTGTCTCTTTTTGTGTTGTGAGTGACCTTGCGGAAACAGCGCATGTCACATGTATTTTCTGTTCTAGTGCTCTATTCATTGTCCATGTTTGGCATGATAACATAAAGTAGGGATGAAGATGCTATTAACCATTTGCTGTTTTGCCAGAAGACAGACATTTGGGTGGCTAAGTAGTGGGGCTAACTGGTAGGTGACTGTACTTGATTGAGTCTGCCATCCTCCTTAAATATGCTTCCTAGATATTTGAAATCTTGTACTTGTTTGATTGTAGTACCGTTAACATGAATGTTCGTGATATTACCAACAGACTAAAAAAAAAATAATAATACAGAAAGACTAAAATAGATGCGGAGAAGGAAATTATAAAAAGAAATTAAAAAGATAAGGATGACATGAGTTGAGCTGCCTGCAAAAGCAATTTATAGAATGACTTAGTAACAGTTGGTGGCTATCTTCCGAATAACGGTCCCAAATTATCGAGGCAGAAAATATACCCTAACAGGGCCTCAGTCAGGTGTCAGTTGCGGACTTCCGGGGACTATACCGCCACCGCCGAATTGCGAACTTCCAGGGACTTCCACCATCGCCGAGAGTATCATCCACGCTGCTCATGCGGCGTGGATTGGGGCTAAACTAGATGGCTAGGACTCATGAGCAAATAAAATAAAGGCAGCTGCAGGAAATGCGGTAGCTGCTGCTCATGAGACCCAGCCATCTAGTATAGCCCCAATCCGTGCCGCGTGTGAGGCGTGAGGGTACACACGGCGGTGGCGGAAGTCGCCGGAAGTGCGCAATTTAAGTCGCCGGAAGTGCGCAATTGACACGTGACTAAGGCCCTGTTAGGGTATATCTTCTGCCTCAATAATTTGGGACCGTTATTCGGAAGATAGCCCAGTTGGTTGATGATTTTAAGTTAAAGTTAAACATTAGCTGAAATATTAACTGTCTTTTTAACTTTTAATTTTTAACATGCTAAAGCAAAATGTGAAATTACCTGGGGAGAGTTGGTTGAGGGTCTGTGTGCTTTTGAGGAATTATACATATTACATATTTTACATATGTATGTTCAGTGTGTTGTGTCCTGTCCTGAGGTGACAGTTGTTAATTTGTCCCTGTCATTGAAGAATGTTGTGGGAGTTGTCTGTTACTTCTGTTATTTTCTTTAAAAACTCTGATGGCCGTTTTTTCCTCCGTATTTGAAACTCTGCTCTTCTTGTTCTTATTTCTCACTCTTTTGCAAGATAATCTGGATTTTTGTTTCCAGAATACATATTAAATTTCAGTCTGTCAATCAGGGACCATCTCCCCAGTGAAAATTAACTGCTATGAATCTGCAAAGCTCTTTCTCTCTCGTTCTGGTTGTACACACTCTCAAACTGCTATTCATCCATCTCTTGATGCTATCCTCCCACTTGTGTCATTGAACTTCTCTTGTTTTATTGTAGCTTTATAGACCTGCAGTCAGCTTTATTTCTTTTGGTTTTCCTATTATCTTGAAGAAAGAAAAAAACAGTGTATTTATTACACTATGTGCATTTTCATTTTAGAATACATATTGAATTTCACTAGCTTGACTATACTTATTTGATTATTACAGATCTTCTCTTAGCAATTTGTTTCTCCCAATCCTTTTGTCCATATCAACAACAACCAAAAAAGAGAGAAAAGAGTGTATTGCAGTGTTAATTTTTGATATGGCTCAAGTGACACAAGCTGCGTTGGGTTAACAGTTTATGATTTACACAGGACTACTGCTTATTCAACCTGCACTTTTTCATTTGCAATTCTCCTTCTTCTTCTCTTCTGCCCTTTCTCCACCAATGGAGCATAAACAATAAACAACCAGCCAACCTTTTTTCAAGACTTGTGCATGTTTGATTGGTTTTTATGACTGAAGCTTGTTACAGTGGGGAGTAGCTAAGTGAAAACCCAGCTGTGCTCTTAGTCACATCTGCTGACATACCTGACAGTGTTACTTATGGTGAATAGGCAGGCCTGCTGTTTTTTTAGTTGTGGCAAGGTTTTCTTCGTGACAATAGCTGGTTTTTGCATTTTCCTCCGTATGTAGACGGAAATGATATAGTTCCATCGCCCAGCTACTTAGTCGACACTGTGAGCTATGGATTTCCTTTGGAATGCTTTTCGACTGTGCCCAACAAATTATGTGCTGTGAACTGCAGATATAGAAAATGGAGAGTGGCCTGTTGTCAGAAAACTGTTGGTTCCCTATGCAATTAATTGTGCATGCAATTACTGATCTGTTGTAACTGCTCTTTCTATGGACAATGAACTGTATTTCTAGTGGCACACTGTTTGTTGGTGCTTCTGCCTGCTGCCTAATGCTTTTAATGTGTGTGTGTGCTGCTGGATTTGCTGAGACTGCAGTCTGTGTCCGTTTCTGTTCACAAGGGGCAGTGATTAACATTCTGTTAGTTTTCATTGGTACAGGAATGTAGCAAATGGGGGGGGGGGGGGGGGGGGGGGGGGGGGTGGGGGGGGGGGGGGGGGGGGGGGGGGGGGGGGGGGGGGGGGGGCCAATTTGATATGAAGCTGGAACTGGGATTACCGGTTCTTTAATAATATCCTACCCTAGCTGACATTACAGGACTGTCTAACATTTTAGAGGGTGGTAAGACTGGGTTTTCCCACTTTCTGATGCTTTTAATGACCCCAAAACATCTAGAGCTGGCCCTAACCCACACTCACCTGTGTCCTACAAGTCAGTAGAACCATATCCCATGAATGCATGCATCCTAGATCCCACGACGGCATGCAGCCTATCTTCCACCCCTTGAAGTATTAGACCTCCCGTGATCTGTGGATTTCCTATGTTTGGGGTAGGATATTAATAAAGCACCGGATTACCTGATCACCTGACTTATTATCTATTACAACATCCTAGCACATCAGTCTGACCCACTCATGCTCCACCCTCTGAGACAGCAGCTGCCTGGGTGTCTCCGTGCTCACTACAGCAAGTAGTAACCGGCATACCTGATAGAGTAAAGTGTTACAGTTGCTTGCTTCTACTAAAACCCCGGCTGCTAACATACAGCAGCTGCCTGGGTGTCTCCATGCTCACTACAGCAAGTAGTAACCGGCATACCTGATAGAGTTAAGTGTTACAGTTGCTTGCTTCTACTAAAGCCCCGGCTGCTAACATACAGCAGCTGCCTGGGTGTCTCCATGCTCACTACAGCAAGTAGTAACCGGCATACCTGATAGAGTGCAGTGTTACAGTTGCTTGCTTCTACTAAAGCCCCGGCTGCTAACATACAGCAGCTGCCTGGGACATCCATTCGCTTTCTCTGTGAACCCTCATGCACTTCATCTGCCTGTCAGCACAGAGCCATCGTTTATACAATCATATCACCTGGGCGGGAATTGTCATGAATCATTTGTTGAACTTCTGATTCTGCAGCACCAGCTGGCCAGTATCTGCACTCACATCCCAAAGTGATTAGAACCCTACACAAGTCTGAATCCTTATCCAAGACTTTCCTCTTTTCAGTTTCTGACCCTTAGCTCTATCCAGGGCTTCATGCAGGAGGTGCCTCTTGTCCGCAGCTTCTCTGAGATATGACTTTGCTTACAGAACTTTGAGCCTATCTGCACTAGTAGGCAGTGCAGATATTTATCACATACATACTACCGGGGTATCTCTTGTACATCCCAGAATTGCCCGCCTGGCTTCGTTCTGTATGCGTTCAAGTTTTTTCAGCTGACTCTTTTATATGGTAAGCATGCCAAGTCCCTAATCTATCACCAACAGGATCACATGCTGGAACATTGTGAACAACATTCTTTGTTCATGTCCATGGCTGCCATAACCTTGAGAGCATTGAGTCCTTTTTGGCATTTCACCACGACTGCCTCCACATGATCAAACCAGCCAGTCACTTTGTCTACAGTTGCCTGAGCTATCCGTCGCCAATCTCTTCCCTGCTCATGCAAGAACATCATCGGCAAATGTCAATACTCTTCCGACACCTGGTGATTCAAGTTCTGCAATCTTGCTTGTATATTTTTGTATTTAATATCTTCACTCTTAGTTTTAAGTAAAGCATAATTTTTCATTTGCCTCTTCTTCTAGGGAAGTTTTCATTCAGATTCTGGCAGTATGGCGTATGGCAGGAAGTGGTTGTTGATGATAGACTTCCAACTTATGACGGCAAGCTGATCTATGGCAAAAATCGGGAGAAGGAACATGAATACTGGGTTCCACTTGTAGAGAAAGCTTATGCAAAGTATGTCACTGTTGATGTGCTTGTGTCTTTTGATGATTTCATTTTACTTGTTCAGTTTCAGAATAAAAAAAATAAATATTCTGTTTCTTTCTGTTTTTAAAAAAAAAATTAAATATTCCAAAAAATGTGGTTTCTGAGAAGAATGTTTTGAATACCTTGGATTGCCAGAGTAACTAACAATGATTGCTTGAAAGAAGCTAATGAAAGTAGATATCTATATACAACAATAAGAAAGAGACAAACACTGTTCATCGGCCACATAATGAGAAAAGAGACATTAGAAAATATCGTGACAACTGGAAAGATCAGCGGGAAAAGGGGTAGAGGCAGACCAAGAAAGATGATGCTGGTTGGGCTGAAATGATGGCATAGAGGGATATCCTGGCAACCAGGGAACTTGATCTGTGAAGACACATGAGCGCCTATGCCAGCTGGCAGGGCACATGATGATGATGATTCCCAAAAAGTAAAGTGTAACTATACATAGCATGATTGCTACTATTGTCTGGTAATCACAGTTCCAGCTTCATAGCAAACAGTTCAACCCCATAGTTGCTCTGTTCCTGTGCCAGTCAGAATCAAACAGAATGTCCAACACTGTGCTTTGTAGTAAAATTGTAGTCTCAACAAAGCCAGTAGCATTCACACGTAATCAATTCATAAGACAGCCATCAGAAGTGCCAACACAAACAGTCCAGCCTAGAAGTGCAGTTCATCATCGATGGAAACAGCAGTTACAACACTTCAGTAGTTGCACACGCAATTCATTGCATAAGGCACCACCATTTCTCTGGCAACAGGACCCTCATCACGTTCTGAATCTACAGTTCACAGCACAAACCATGTTGGGTACAGTTGTACAGTACATTCCAAATGAAATCCACAGCTCATAGTGTCATGCTAGGCACTCAACCAGTAGCTGGATCACGGAGCTCTCTACTACATAGAACATCTATAGGAGCTCTGACATTGCTGTGATTGGACACTTTACTGCCGGTCCGAAGGTTTTTGGTTTCAATTTGTATTGAGGCTGATTTGATAGGAGCTCTCAGGTTCACTCAGCCTAGAATATGTACCAGAAAATGTCCTGGTAAGTAAAATTGGTCATTGTAACATTATGCACATCATCCAAATACTGCCGTTGATTAGCCTATAAAATATGGATCTAGGAGGATATAACCTTGTCCACCAGTATGATGTTGACTGGATCTGGTAGCATATAACCTTGTCCACCAGTATGATGTTGACTGGATCTGGTAGCATATAACCTTGTCCACCAGTATGATGTTGACTGGATCTGGTAGCATATAACCTTGTCCACCAGTATGATGTTGACTGGATCTGGTAGCATATAACCTTGTCCACCAGAATGATGTTGACTGGATCTGGTAGCAAATAACCTTGTCCGCCAGTATGATGTTGACTGGATCTGGTAGCATATAGCCTTGTCCACCAGTATGATGTTGACTGGATCTGGTAGCTTATAGCCTTGTCTGCCAGTATGATGTTGACTGGATCTGGTAGCATATAACCTTGTCCACCAGTATGATGTTGACTGGATCTGGTAGCATATAGTTTGTCCACCAGTATGATGTTGACTGGATCTGGTAGCTTATAGCCTTGTCCGCCAGTATAATGTTGACTGGATCTGGTAGCATTTAGCCTTGTCCGCCAGTATGATGTTGACTGGATCTGGTAGCATATAGCCTTGTCCGCCAGTATGATGTTGACTGGATCTGGTAGCATATAACCTTGTCCACCAGTATGATGTTGACTGGATCTGGTAGCATATAGCCTTTTCCACCAGTATGATGTTGACTGGATCTGGTAGGATATAACCTTGTCCACCAGTATGATGTTGACTGGATCTGGTAACATAAAGCCTTGTCCGCCAGTATGATGTTGACTGGATCTGGTAGCATATAGTCTTGTCCGCCAGTATGATGTTGACTGGATCTGGTAGCATATAACTTTGTCCGCCAGTATGATGTTGATTACATCACCCAATGAGTAAAGTAAAATCGGGAGATGAGAACCAGTGTCATTGCACATGCTTATAAACCATAAGTGCTCTGCCATTAGTACGGACAGCTGATAACTGTGTCATCGTCTGCACACAACTCCATAGCTACAGAGATGTTTCTACATTTACGCCAAAGTGGTAACTCTGGTACCCATTACCTATAGGGTGGGTGAACCCCGGGGACCGTCCGGTTTCGAACACTGGCTGTGGGCTGCAGTGAGTCACTGCTGGATTTGAAAGCAAGTCTCCTATCGAGTGAGCTAACAAGGCCCAGTGAGTGCTGACTGGTCTGTAATAATGGTTCTAGCATCATATACCCAAGGTGCCACACTTTTACTTTATTTAAAAGCGTTCTGTACATTTTTCAACTCTTTACACGGCATTTATAAAAGCGGCGGCATGGAGTGGCCAAATGCTCTTCTTCTAGCCTGATGGTCTCACTTCATAGACACCAATCTTTTTTAATAACTAGGATGTGACTTCTTCTTCTCATCCACCTTGTACCTCAGCGAAGTGTCGGGCGAAGATGTAACATTCGTTGATGAGCTCTGTCAAGAGCACTATTAAGACTGATGTTCATTTCTGTAAGGTTGTTCTTAATAGCATCACTCCATCTTTTCCGAGTTCTTCTTCTCCCTCTATACCCGTTGTAACGTTTTAGTTTGACTCGCTGTACTATACAGGTAGTTTGAGGACCAGGGCATTCTTTAGGACGTGACTACTGAAATATACAGGTAGTTTGAGGACCAGGACATTCTTTAGGACGTGACTACTGAAATATACAGGTAGTTTGAGGACCATGGCATTCTTTAGGACGTGACTACTGAAATATACAGGTAGTTTGAGGACCAGGGCATTCTTTAGGACGTGACTACTGAAATATACAGGTAGTTTGAGGACCAGGGCATTCTTTAGGACGTGACTACTGAAATATACAGGTAGTTTGAGGACCAGGGCATTCTTTAGGACGTGACTACTGAAATATACAGGTAGTTTGAGGACCAGGGCATTCTTTAGGACGTGACTACTGAAATATACAGGTAGTTTGATTACCAGGGCATTCTTTAGGACATGACTACTGAAATATACAGGTAGTTTGAGGACCAGGGCATTCTTTAGGACGTGACTACTGAAATATACAGGTAGTTTGAGGACCAGGGCATTCTTTAGGACGTGACTACTGAAATATACAGGTAGTTTGAGGACCAGGGCATTCTTTAGGACGTGACTACTGAAATATACGGGTAGTTTGAGGAAGAGTCGTATTCTGCAAACAGGAAGTCAGGAAAGCAAAGAAGAGATGAGAGAAATGCATCATGTTGAGGAAAAACTACACTGAAGAACAAAAGTTCAAAATTTCCATATATTTGCCTCGACTTCCTCATACTAAAGTGCACAACGTTTTTACCACCCCAGTTAGATTATTTCAATAATTCCATTTCAGAAAATTGTGTGATCCCTGATGTAAAAGCATCTAAACTCACATTGCTAGGATCATTTTAGAATGCCTGAAAAATAAAGAACAAAGTTAGGTTAGTTGCGTATCCTTTACAACGTTGCAAAACCAACCCCAACAGCCCCTGGCTGTGTGGTTTTTCTAGGCACAGAGCCGACAAATGTGGGGTTTTTCTAGGCACAGAGCCGACATAAAGAACAAGACCCAAAGACAAATTATCATAAACATTTGAAAAAATTTTTTTTTTTTTTTAGAGAGGATGGGGGAATATTGTGAGATTATAAAATTAGGAACATCATTTCATAACTGAAAATATTTATGGAAAGAGATGTTGAAGCAACAAGAGTATGTTCTTGAAAGTCTGTTTTTTATGACATGGAAGGGTATTTAAAAAATTGATAATGGTGTTTTAGATTGCAAGATTTGGGGAGATATTATTGTCCATGCTATGGGGCAAGGCACTTGATGATGATGATTTTTCTGAATTTCTCATGACAATTTTTCTTTTCTGGAATTCACAGATTGTATGGAAACTACAATGTTTTGGATGGTGGCAGAATCCACACAGCATTAGTGGATCTGACTGGTGGATTGGGTGAGATGGTGGCCCTGAAAGAACAGATTTCTGACAATGATCTGACTGATCTCCTGTTGCGGTGTTCAAAGATGAACAGCTTTATGGGAGGATCTATCTTTGTATGTAATCTTGTACAAGATCATTACAAACATGTATTGTTAACTGTCATATGTAATTATATTTTCTTAACTGAATCAAGGCTCATATAAGGTTATCAGGATTGTGTTGATACTGCACAGTCCTTTGCAGGTAAGGATGTTGCCAGTGCCCCACTTTACAGGGTGATGTTTGGAGCAGTTGCAGAAGCATTGTGGGACTGTTTCTTACAGGTCTGGTTTCACCCAAGAATTTTTGATGAATGACAACATTCTCTTGTTTCAGCTATTTCCATACTTAATATCTTGTTCCAAGCGACTTTTTCTCAGTCTTAAAACTTTAGAAAGTAATGAAATATTATCTCTGAGTGATATTCAAGAGGTTCAGGTAATTGGTTTCATTAAGTTTAAACAATTATTTTTTTTAAATAGAGTCTATTGAGGGCAACTGAGCTCAGTACAAGGGAAGAGGAATGGGAGAGGCTAAGAAAGACCTGGCTCTAAATTAAGCTGACTGGATGAGCCTGAAATACATATGATTGCCAGACATAGAGCCATGAACAAACAGTCAACAGTATCTCACTGATACAATGTGTTGTGGACTACCATAATTTTCTGTAGGTTTTCATTTTTATTTTTGTTAAACCTCTAATTTTTTTTTAGTCTTACTGTTTTTGCTTAAACTATTTTTTTTTTAAATTTCAGAATTGTTTATTAACATACGGTGTGTTTTTAAATCCATGTTTTTAGGTGAAACATACTGGAGATAGAGAAGTTATACAAGTATCTGGTCTGATAGAAGGGCATGCTTACACAATTGTCAAAGTCAAAGAGGTAACAGTTATAAATGTAAAGCTAATCAGGTAATATTAATGTGTAATGTCTTGTGTTATTCTGTAACAGAGCAATATTTAGGCAAGTAAAATAAAGAACCTTTTTCAGGCTATTGCTGCATCTTGCATATGGTGTACACTTTAATAGTTCAGTAGACAAACTTATTTGGAAGCTGAGGAAACGTGGTTTTATAGACGAATGATAAGAATATGCTGGACAGATAAAAAAAGTAGTGAAGATGTCTTGAAAGAAACTGACTCACGAAGACAACTGATTGCCCACATTATTAAGAGACTATCAACATTCTTTGGTCATATGAGGAGAAAGAGAAAACTGGAGTACATGGTGACAGTAGGAAAGTTGGAGGGGAGGAGCGGCAGAGGGAGGCCGAAAGGAAAGATGCTGGATAGTCCGACATCATGGCCTGGCAGATCATCTGTGCAGAGCTGATTGAAAGTACATGAGACAGAAGGTGGTGGACGGATATGACTACCAATGCCACACTGCACGAGCTTTAAAAAGAAGACATTCTCACACTGATGTCTCACATAGCCTGCCTTCCCTCTCCAGTCCTGTCATGATAGTTAAAGTCCTACAAGTCTGTTGTCCGTCCTCACTCAGACTTCAATGCTGGCTGACATGTTTTGACATGGACATGGGTACAAGGTTGTGTTGCCCTAAACCAACAACTTTATATGTGCTGGCTCCTGAATATTTTATCTCTAGGGACAGTTAATTATATATTGTCATGGATTCCCCCTGGCTGGTCAGTCCCCTGAGTAGGTAAACCCAATAAATTGAGTACATGGTGCGCTAGCAAATCTATCACCACATGGCTGCACATTTGGGCATCATATCACCACAAACAGTGCACATGGTTTTGTGGATGGTTGAAACATTATAATTTTATTATGATAAATATCAGTATTCAAGTATACTGAAAAACATATGATACAAGAAATAGGAATAGTTTACCAGCACTCTAGCAGAGATAGCTGAAAGGTATGTGATGATGATAATAATGTTTTACTACTAATAGTTATTTTACCTGCAGTTATTTAAATTTGGTGTCAGGGAAAAATGAGTCAGTCCAGGGAAGAAAGATTTAAATTGAAAAGTGAAGGACCCTTTTCAAGCAGTCGGTACAACAGGCATAAAGTACTAGGTACATATTTTTATATACCAGCTGACATTTGATAGCTGATGTGATCAACAACACAGCAGCCACCTTTACTTCCCAAAGCAATGCCTGGTACCCATTTTAGGCTGGTTGACCGGTTTGGAGGGTATGGAAATGTACCCAAGATCAATCATCAAAATCTGCCCAAAATGAGTTTTTTTTAAATGCACTGGTTGAATTTTTATTATTTCATTAGATATGTGAAAGGTCGTGATGATGTGATAATTGTCAATTACTTCAAAACATACACAGGTGAACACAACGAAAGGAAAGTTTCTTCTTTTACACATCAGAAACCCCCATGGCAGAGGCGAGTGGCAAGGACCCTGGAGTGACAAGTAAGTAGAGCATTTTAGAAAGCCAATAGCTATGTCTGGCAAAAACTGAAGTTTTTGCTCAGCCTATGTCACTCATTGTATTTCACTGGGTGTCCAGAAATCCCTTGACCATTTTTATACTGAATGACAAATAATATATTAAAAAAACCATGAGGGTCATGTGGTTAATCTCAGACTTCCATAGGTACAACGTCTTTCTTCTGTCCATTTTCTGCTGTGTGCTGCTAGGCATCACAGGTTAACAGATGATCAGTTTCTGATCTAGGGCACTCTCAGTTGTTCAATATGCTGTGATGTTTTGGAGTCTCAAGGTTATCAGTGACTCCTTTAATCTATCTACTTCCTGGTTGTCCTCTACATCTTAGTGTTTTTACTTTCATGTGGTACATACTAGGGCTGTACCGAATATTCGCTTCGTATTCGCTTCGGGGCCGAATAGTGGACCTAATAACTATTCGGTATTCGGCCGAATAGTTGCGGTCAGGCCGAATACGAATAGTGGTTACCTTACACCCGTTTCTGGACTGGTGGCAAAAAACATGTCAAGATTTCCCACCTTGGTTCATACTGTCAAGCGTTATCTTTGTGCACCACCTACGAGCGTACCAAGTGAACATCTGTTTAGTACAGCAGGAAATAACTTCAATGAGACAAGAAACTGCCTTAATGCTGACAACATGGAACAATTTTTTTTTAAAGCTCATGCCGCTTACATGGATTAACTTTGCAGACAGTGACAATTTACAAGTTCAGTTATTTGTTAAAAACTAAGAATACTTTCATTCCTAGGTATTAGTTACCACAGCGAAAGTGAAAGAATAAGCCTCAGTTTGAATAGTGGGAAGACAGAAGTAATGGTGGTATCAAAGAAAATAATTATTCCTAAATGTGTAATAAAAGTCAATGGTTTTATTTTGGGACAAGTACAGAAATTTAAGTATCTGGGCACGTGGATGACAATCAGATGGAAGATGCAATACTGAAATAAGAAACAGAATAGGATAGGCAAAAACTGCATTTTATAAAATGAAGAACACCTTATGCATTATATCTTTGTCATTGAGAGTTAGAAAAAGAATTCTTGCTTGCTACATACATCCAGTTTTAACATATGGCTGTAAGTCCTGGACAATCGGTAGGCAGGCCAAACAATTTCTTGAGGCCTCATAGATGTGGTTTTACAGAACAATGCTTAAAATACTTTGGACAGCCACAAAAAAAAAAAAAAAAAAAACCAAGAGGTTTTGATAGAGGCTGGAGCCGAAAGACAACTACTCACAGACATCAGACGGAGACAGTTGTTGTCATTTTTTGACCATGTTATAAGATAGGGAAAATGGAACATGTCGTGACCACTGGAAAGATATACGGAAGGGATGGATAGAGGAAGACACGATAGAAGATTCTTGACAGTCTTGTTGCATGGCATTTAGGTGTGTTAGCACACGAACTGATACATGCTGCAGGAGATCGCAAACTGTGGCGTGGCATAATCGCCCATGCCAGTCGGCAAAGCACCTGATGATGATGATTCACTATTCGTATTCGTATTCGGCCGAATAGTTGGTCCAGCTATTTGTATTCGGCCAAATAGTGAAAATGACTATTCGCTACAGCCCTAGTACATACACTCTTTTCACCCCGATGTACATCTAACAAGAGATAATAATCTGTATAGTATGGTACAGTACTTGGTGAGCAGAGTATGTCAGGCGATAAATTGTTCAATATACTGAAGATAGAGCGGTTTGGTCATTATATTAGAATGCAGCTACAACAATTACCAGCACAGGTTTTACCCGGGAAAAGATCTGATTTGAGGTCGACCTAGGAGATGATGGATTAATGACATTAAAGGGCTTCTACATGACACCAAATGTCAATAATCAGCAACTAGGCCAAATCTGTTGTAGCCCAGATTGTGTGAAGGCCAAACACTTGTCACTCCAACAGCATTGATGGCCATGGGAATAACTACAGGCAGAATATGTTCTAAATCAGTGTTCTTTAACCCGTGGGCTGTGACCCACTGGTGGGCTGCTGAAAGGTTCTTGTGTCTCGCCAAAAACTTCTACTTAATATTGTAACAAAGTAGGGTTGGTGGTTTGTCCTCTTCCAGTCTGTAGGATTAACACCTGTAGACTTCCTGTTTGTGTGAAAAGACTTTTTCATGCATATAAATAATTAAAAACCAAGTGGAGAAATTGAATGCATGCTGGCATAGAATTTTGCATATCAGAAACATTGCTCCAGCCACATATATACAATTTTTTAACATATAAGCAGCATTATGACACTGGATTTAACGAATAAATTGCTGTCTGCATTTGTTTCTGTTTCATGTTTGGTTAGCTGTCAGGTGGGTCCCTAAACAGTTCCCACTGTTTCTGTTTCATGTTTGGTTAGCTGTCAGGTGGGTCCCTAAACAGTTCCCACTGTTTCTGTTTCATGTTTGGTTAGCTGTCAGGTGGGTCCCTAAACAGTTCCCACTGTTTGGGTGAGCCTCAGGTGTAAAACAGGTTGAGGAACACTGTTCTGTATTACACTTAAATACCATAGCCACAATCTTTTAGTATAAAAGCCATCAGGGATGTGAGTCATGGACTATCTCACAGTCCTTAATAAATAAAATCAAGCTTTTGAGCTAAAGGCTATAGAAAGATTCTCACAATACCATAGACAAAGAGGAAGAGAAATACTGACATCGTAAACGATTTGAACGTCAAAGAGGATTGGCTAGCAAATATCACTTGTCTCAGAAACTGAAATGTTAATGGCATTACATAGCGTTCTCTTTAAGTAGAAAACCATTTTGTTTGCTGTCCGTGAATATAATTTGATATAAGTTCCATATCACCTTTTACTTCTATGACCTCAATCCTGATTTTTTGTTTTTAATTATAAATCTCTTCTGGTCTCTACAGCAGCCTGTCTTGGACATTTCCATTTTATGTTTGCAGTTTTTGTTTCTGTATTATAGTTAGTAGCAATGGCTAGCGCTTCTAGTAGTGTAGAGGGGAAAACCAGTTGTTTTTGTTTCTGTATTATAGTGAGTGGCCATGGCTGGCACTTCTAGTAGTGTAGAGGGGAAAACCAGTTGTTTTTGTTTCTGTATTATAGTGAGTGGCCATGGCTGGCACTTCTAGTAGCGTAGAGTGGAAAACCAGTTGTTTTTGTTTCTGTATTATAGTGAGTGGCCATGGCTGGCACTTCTAGTAGTGTAGAGGGGAAAACCAGTTGTTTTTGTTTCTGTATTATAGTGAGTGGCCATGGCTGGCACTTCTAGTAGCGTAGAGTGGAAAACCAGTTGTTTTTGTTTCTGTATTATAGTGAGTGGCCATGGCTGGCACTTCTAGTAGTGTAGAGGGGAAAACCAGTTGTTTTTGTTTCTGTATTATAGTGAGTGGCCATGGCTGGCACTTCTAGTAGTGTAGAGGGGAAAACCAGTTGTTTTTGTTTCTGTATTATAGTGAGTGGCCATGGCTGGCACTTCTAGTAGTGTAGAGGGGAAAACCAGTTGTTTTTGTTTCTGTATTATAGTGAGTGGCCATGGCTGGCACTTCTAGTAGTGTAGAGGGGGAAAACCAGTTGTTTTTGTTTCTGTATTATAGTGAGTGGCCATGGCTGGCACTTCTAGTAGTGTAGAGGGGAAAACCAGTTGTTTTTGTTTCTGTATTATAGTGAGTGGCCATGGCTGGCACTTCTAGTAGCGTAGAGTGGAAAACCAGTTGTTTTTGTTTCTGTATTATAGTGAGTGGCCATGGCTGGCACTTCTAGTAGTGTAGAGGGGAAAACCAGTTGTTTTTGTTTCTGTATTATAGTGAGTGGCCATGGCTGGCACTTCTAGTAGTGTAGAGGGGAAAACCAGTTGTTTTTGTTTCTGTATTATAGTGAGTGGCCATGGCTGGCACTTCTAGTAGCGTAGAGTGGAAAACCAGTTGTTTTTGTTTCTGTATTATAGTGAGTGGCCATGGCTGGCACTTCTAGTAGTGTAGAGGGGGAAAACCAGTTGTTTTTGTTTCTGTATTATAGTGAGTGGCCATGGCTGGCACTTCTAGTAGCGTAGAGTGGAAAACCAGTTGTTTTTGTTTCTGTATTATAGTGAGTGGCCATGGCTGGCACTTCTAGTAGTGTAGAGGGGAAAACCAGTTGTTTTTGTTTCTGTATTATAGTGAGTGGCCATGGCTGGCACTTCTAGTAGTGTAGAGGGGAAAACCAGTTGTTTTTGTTTCTGTATTATAGTGAGTGGCCATGGCTGGCACTTCTAGTAGTGTAGAGGGGAAAACCAGTTGTTTTTGTTTCTGTATTATAGTGAGTGGCCATGGCTGGCACTTCTAGTAGCGTAGAGTGGAAAACCAGTTGTTTTTGTTTCTGTATTATAGTGAGTGGCCATGGCTGGCACTTCTAGTAGTGTAGAGGGGAAAATCAGTTGTTTTTGTTGGCATTGAATGAGAGAAATCATTCTGGTGTTTAATTCCAGATCACGGGAATGGAACACCCTCAGTGCTGCTGATAAAAAAGAAACACACAGCACAGACAATAATGGAGAATTCTGGTAATTTTTATATTGTTTCTACTAAAGCATTGATAATGGACAGTTTAATTAAATCTTTAAGTACAACTCACCTCATGATTACTGGTTACTCTGTATATTTATGTATTTCTTACTTGTTTTTCTCTGATACTTATGTTGTGTTACTCCATTCTGTAACATTTGTAACCTTAACATGTTCTGTTGCGTCAACTCCATAAGACATAACAGATCGTTTCTGTAAAGTATAACAAATGTTGGATAGAGTGTGTCAAAGTAACAAGTACCTGGAACTCCAAGAGTTAAAAAATAGTTAAATATTATCACTGTGTTTGAGGTTGCAGAATTGATGATGATTAGGGCTGTATTTATGTTACAGAACCTTTTTGTTAGAGTCTTATTTGAATAATTTCAGTTTTACAGTAAACATTTAAAAAGTTATAATTTTGTTAATCCAGCTTCTTTCTCATTGTTGATGCTGTCTTTTCTGGCTACGCCCAATATTCTGCCCAAATGTCTCAAATCTCTCTTGTTTCCCTACTCCATGCTTGTCTGTTGTAGTTAATATCAATTTTTTACAACACTTTTTCTTTCCTTGGTTGATGTTATTCTTGGTCTGTGATATTGTTGGTGTATCTAGTTTTTCAGCTGTGTACCCAAAGATATTGTTGGGCTCGTGGCATTTATTAAACAGATACACAGAGAGCTGGAAAGGGTTGATAGAAACACCCACAATAGCATTTTCCACCAGGTTATCATCTAGTTAAGAAGAGAATGTAGAGAGTAAGTAAAAAAAAAGTAAAGATCCCCTTTCACGCCTTTCGGCGCATCGGGCATATGGGCAGAGCGTCCCATATTTTTACAGACCATCAGCACTCGGTGGGTAATGTGGTCAGCATTACGCCGGCTGTCTTTACTTTCCCAGGACAGCCCATCCTGGTACCCATTTTAGGCTGGGTCGACCTGCGACGTCCCATACCACGATAAAAATCCGCGCAGCCTGCAGTGGATTTCGATCGCGGTATGCTGGCTTACGAGTCGGACTCGCAACGCCTTAGCCACGGACGCCGCAATGTAGAGAGTAGTGTAATAATTTGGCAGAATTGGAGGTACAGTAACTCATAGATGAAAAGGACAAGGAAAAAAACAACAATTTGTAGGCTTTGAAAGTGACAGTGGTAGGAGCTCATATTGGATGAAGTAAACATTCTGAAGACCATTTATGAATGAATTCTGATAGAAAATAATGATATAAGATGAAACAAAATGTGAAAGCTGCAATAATTTGAAATTAAATGTGGATCCAGCAAGGAAATTTATATGAGAGGAGAAGTATATAGCTCTATATGTTTCACCAGCTATTTATTCCAGCACCCTGGGTCAAGGTAACTATTACTTTGTGCAGGGCTGTTTTTCTGGGCCGCATTGTAGCATATTCCGCATCATGTGAAATCTTTTCAGTAGTACATACATTTCTGATAGTGACTTCTTCATGTGTCATCCGAAAGCTACCTCTTTTCAGCCAATATTCTTTGCTATCTCCCAAGGCCTTATGTAGAAAGTATTCCCTGTCCATTGCGACTTTGAAGTGCATTTGTCCCTGTAACACCTTTTACCATAAACTGAATTGGTGTGTCCTGGTTACATCACAAACTGACTCATATGGCTTCATTCTGATGAATTCCATTTTGTTTGTTTGGCTCTGAGCAGTCCCAAACCATACTCCATAACAGAAATAATCAGATGCTGGTAGAGTGTATAAAGCATTCTCTGTTCTTTATCACAAGATGCTATCACCTTCAACACATTAAGTCTTTTCGTGATCTTAAACATCACCTCTTCAACATGGTACTTGAAAGACAGACTTCTGTCACGTTATTCTAAAATCCATGACCTTACTGAGAATATTTTATTACAGGTCTTTCAAACAAGAGCCCAGCGTTCTCAGCTTCTCCACCTCAGCAGACAAATAATTACTTTAAAATTAACAGAAAAATACTTAGTGGGAAAGACGTTAAAAAATAAAGACGTAGTAAGCCAATAAAGATTTTAAAAGGAAATAATGACAGGTCAGTGAGAAGTATAACATGAAAGATTTTATAAAATAAAATGTGTGTATCTGTATTTATATCACATCATCACAGCCAAAGTGAATATATTTAACATCATCATCAGGTGCCTTGCCGACTGGCGTGGGCGATCATATGAGTATAACTGATTAATTATTGTGTGCATCAACTTAGGATGAGTGTATCAGACTTCAGAAAACATTTTGACGAACTAGAGTTATGCCACATGAAACCTGAAGGACTTTTACAGGGAAATATGGGTGGCATTGTAAGTAAACGGTTTTGATGTTTGATGCAATGATATCTGCATACTTTACATTTTATTTTAACTTTCTTTTTTTTCTAACCATGAGAGGTAGTGCTAGCTTGCAGTCCTTTTCACTTTTGGTAGAATTCAGTTGCAATGTCCTATTTTTGCAGACCCACAAAATCTTTATCCTCAAGGAGGAGGAGTTATATAGAACAATGCTTCTGCTCCAAAAATGTTGAGTTTGAATTCAGCTTAGGAGTTTGTTGTTGTTGTTGTAATAGCCTTCTGCCCAGATTGGAGAGGAATCTGATGTAACACTCTGTTCTGATCTTTTATCTATTGAACCAGCAGACTATCTTGTCAGAAAGTGCGAACAGAAGTCGATTGCACACACATATGGTGCTTTATACAATTTCTTGTTAGTTCTACAGCATCAAGAGCAGGCTTGAACCAGTTTAAAATAGGAAAACCTCAGCACAAGAAGATATCTATACTGTGTATGGCTACTCGTATTCACATTCCATGTTAGTATTACCAGGAGATATCTATACTGTGTATGGCTACTCGTATTCACATTCCATGTTAGTATTAGCAGGAGATATCTATACTGTGTATGGCTACACGTATTCACATTCCATGTTAGTATTAGCAGGAGATATCTATACTGTGTATGGCTACACATATTCACATTCCATGTTAGTATTAGCAGGAGATATCTATACTGTGTATGGCTACTCGTATTCACATTCCATGTTAGTTTTAGCAGGAGATATCTATACTGTGTATGGCTACTCGTATTCACATTCCATGTTAGTATTACCAGGAGATATCTATACTGTGTATGGCTACACGTATTCACATTCCATGTTAGTATTAGCAGGAGATATCTATACTGTGTATGGCTACACGTATTCACATTCCATGTTAGTATTACCAGGAGATATCTATACTGTGTATGGCTACTCGTATTCACATTCCATGTTGGTATTACCAGGAGATATCTATACTGTGTATGGCTACTCGTATTCACATTCCATGTTAGTATTACAGTTTATTTTTGCTGTCTCAAGTAGTCAGTTTATTGCTCTTCATTGTGAATCGCAAACATCAAGTACAATTTTTTGCTTTTATACATTTTGACACAGCTTACTAAAAAATATGTCATGCTCAGTGGTAACTTCTCCTGTGTAATAAACCTGTTGGAAAATAATGCACTGGCGATTTTTCATAAAGATAGTTTTCCTCCTTGGGCATCTTCTGTGAAAACCTTTTAAAATAAAAAAAATAAAAATTTAAAATGCTGGGTTTTAGAAAATCCTTGAATTATGTCAGTCAGTCTATCCAGTCCTAATAGTGGATACACAAAAAATAGGCAGAATTCATAGAAACAAAAATAAATTAAATACGGTGGTTGCTAAGCAACTGAAAATGAAGCGAGAGTGCTTAAAGTGTAGATGACCCTATCTTGTCGGCTTTGAGGTATGGTAGGGAAATCCTCCGAATGTCCCATGGTAGGGAAATCCTCCGAATGTCCCATGGTAGGGAAATCCTCCGAATGTCCCATAGTAGGGAAATCCTCCGAATGTCCCATGGTAGGGAAATCCTCTGAATGTCCCATAGTATAGGTGGGTTAATATTAAGTTTTATTCTTTTTACACTGGCCCTAACCCTAACACCCCTAAAATAGGGTACTGTCCAGAGAAATCCCTACAAAATCTTGAAGCCAGTGAGATGGGGTTGTTTAAAATTAAAGTAACGAAGAGAGAGTTGTATAAAAACCTACTGGAGAGAGAAGTTTAAGGCAGTCAAGTAAAAAGTAGTTAATGATACAAGTGGGTTGATGAAGAGACTGATGAACAGCAGGCTGAGAGTGTACAAACAGAGCAACAGACAAGTAGATCAATTGCAGCCAATCGTTATTATGGAGATGGCACCTGGTCAGTTAAATGTATTTTAAGATTTTTTGTTTTAAAGTAAAATGTATTATTTCTTTTATATATATATATATATATATATCACTATTAGATCTTCATAACTTTAACATATGCCAGCCATTTTTGTATTTTGTTTCTCAAGTAATAACGTGCATGAACAGGCAAGAGCAGAATTGTGTTTTGTTTCTCTCTTAATAACATGCATGAACAGGCGGGAGCAGGCGAATTGTGTTTTGTAATAAAAAGAGAATGATAGTCGAAGGAGACACTGATATAATATTGAATCACTCTTCTGCTTTTCTGCATTCAAGGGTGGCTGGTACATTGTGATAAGATTTTCGGTTATAATTTATGAGCCTGTTGGCCCAACACGGCTGATCTTCGTGAACCTTGAACTAGTCAGCTTCTACAATATGCTGTTTAAAGGACAGTGTGTCTATTATTACTTTTCTTCCAAATGTTGCCCCAAAACCCACATGAGGATGAAGTCATTCTTTTAATTTACAATGCATGTATAAAGGTTTTAAAAGTATTCAGACTTCATAAATCAGTTATCATATATAATTCTTCAAGGATGGGGTTTCTGTATTTGTGGGTGATGTGTTGATGGAATTACAATTTATATCTACACACAAAATAACAACAGCCAAGGCTACCCATCGACTGCTGGACCACAAATTGTTCCTCCCCATGGCTCCTAACAGCAAAAATGGATTTTGATGATGATGATAACTTATTGTTTTTTTAAATTCTTAATTACTGTTATTACTGCCTATTTCATGTTTTTACTCTTGCAGACTGAATCTCAGTGGAAGGTAATTGAACACAGAGGCAAATGGGACCGTACGTCATCAGGAGGCCCTCCAATCAGTTTTATGTCGAAGCAGTTTTGGTCAAACCCACAGATTGAACTTCACATTGCCCCGTCGTCTCAGACAACTTTGGTAGTTTTCTGCCTGTATGAAGTCACTGATTTGCTAAAGAGAGCAGAACCTGACATCAGCATTGGATTTTCTGTGTTTCAGGTTAGAACAAATTATCATCTTCATCGGTGACGGGCATGGGTGATCATGCCTCTTCACAACCTGTGATTTTCAGCAGCATGTATCAGTTTATTTGCTGACACCCCTTGATGCCATGACAAAATCTGTCAAGAATCATCTCACATTGTTTTCTGTATTGCTTTTTCCACAGATCTTTCCGGTGGTCACAACATGTTCCAGTTTTTTTCTTCTGCTAACATGACCAAAAACTGATGACTGTTTTCTGTATTGCTTTTTCCACAGATCTTTCCGGTGGTCACAACATGTTCCAGTTTTTTTCTTCTGCTAACATGACCAAAAACTGATGACTGTTTTCTGTCTGGTGTTTGTTTCTGCATCTTTTGTTTTTTCACTAAAAATCATCTAGTCCTTCTACTCACTCCCACTTGAACAAGTGTCTCTGGATTTAGAAAGTTCTACTTTGTCTCTGATGGGTAAGTTGGAGCCTTTTCTCAGGCATGGGTGTTAATTTTATGTAAGTTAGCCTTTGGTAATGTCCAAATCTGACACTGTTATTCGCTGTACTAATTAATTAATATTAAAACTTTCTCTATTTGGATCACATTGCCATAGCAATGCAAAGATTGAACAGCCTTAAAAGTCTATGGTTAAGCACCAGCAAGGAGATAAAAATTAGAATTTTTAGAGCATGCATCTTCCCTGTGGCTACATACGGATGTGAGTCGTGGACTATCTCTCAGTCCTTAAGAAAGAGAATAGGGGCTTTTGAGCTGAAATGCTATAGAAAGATTCTCAGAATATCTTGGACAAAGAAGAAGAGAAATATTGACATCTTAAAAGATCTGAACATCAAGGAAGATTGGCTAATAAACAGCATCCTTTCTCGAAAGCTGAAATAGTTTGGTCATATCAAGCGCCACGACGGATTGGAAAAAATTAAAGCAGAAGGCATGGTACCAGGAAGGAGGAGCAGGGGCCAACCGACACGAAGATGGGCACAGGATATAAGTGACTCCTTGAGTGTGAAAGTTCATGAGGTGGGAGAACTGGCAAGAGACCGAGTTTCTTTCACGCGGACTGTGATGAGAGCGACGTTCTGCAGAGGACCTGCTACATGATGATGATGATGATTTGGATCACATGCCTTGTTGTTATTAGTTTCCCTAATGTAGAGTATAGATTTATCAAATATTCTCTTTCAGTTTACATTTTTTTATATTGTCCAGTTCTGTTCTCGAGCATATTCCTAGATTTGTATAAAAGGGAGGTGCAGTGCTGAGATGCAGATAGATCATTATAGTCTAAGGAGAATGGCGCTACGAGGAGTTACCAGGGGAAGAATGAGACAGATATACAATCAGTCGGTTACTGTACCATTGGAATTGGAACTCTTCATTTGCTGCTGACGATGGGAGCTGAGCACTTATGGGAGTGTCACAAGTGCTGTGATGTCAATTCTTAATTCAACATACAACATTCAACATAAAAGGGAACAATTGACATGTTTTATTTTTGGAGTACCGATGGGACACATACCCAAAAAAGGACTATCCGGGTGAAAATGGGACATATGGTCACCTTACCCATGGCTTGGACTATAAGAAAAATAACCCAATTTTAGTGAGCTTTATTTTAATTGGCTGGCTGATTTTTTTCCCTCCTGGCTTCTGTCTGAAGTGTTTGACACCAACAGAAATCCCATGAGCCACATCGTGTCAGTCTAATAAGACAAATCTAAGATCGTCCATATAATCTCCTAGGAATAAAAACCTCCTAGGAAGTAAATAATAGGATATTTGTACCAGCTTAAATAATAGGATATTTGTACCAGCTACACCGAGAGGTTCTTTGTGGTCCTAGACAGTTACAGGATTTGTATCAATAATTTGCTTGATTCACTTCGTGCCATCTGTTACAACGATGCAGGTCCATCTTGAATGATGTGCCCAAGGAAGATAATTCATAATTATACATATGCAGCATTCCATCCAAAGATTGGGATATCACTGGGATGTACGATTTCTCTGGTACTATATATATATATGATTACATAGCCAATGTTCTTAATTTTTTTTTTTTTAACATTTCTAGATGCCTAATGGAAAGAAAGTTGAGCGATTAACAGATGACAATTTTTATGAAATCTCACCCCGCATGGTTCAGTCATCTGGTGTTTCTTGGCCATACAGGTGGGCATTTTTAATGAACTACACAATATTTGAGCAACTGCTGCTCCTCCTTCTCCTGCTTCTTCTCCACTTCCAATTCTTCATCTTCCTTCTTCTTCTCCTCCTTCTTCTTCTTCTTCTCCTCCTCCTTCTTTTTCCCCCTCTCCCTTTTTCTTTTTTTCTCCTCTTTTTTTTTACTTCTCCTCCTCCTTCTTCTTCTTCTTTTCCTCTTCCTTCTTTTTCTCCTCCTCCTCCTTCTTCTCCTTCTCCTTTACATTTTCTTCTTCTTTGTCTTCATCCTTCTTATCTTTCCTTTTACTTCTTCTCGTCTTCCTTCTTCTCCTCCTTCTCCTTCTCCTTCACCTCATTTGTTTTCTTCTTTGTGTTAATCTTCCTTATCTATCATCCTTCTTCTCCTCCTCCTCCTTTGTTAGTTTCATCTCCGGATGGAGCTCATCCTCACAATAAACATATACAAAGCCATATGTTTACTTATTCCTAGCTGGCTGGATTTTGCAGCTGACGTTTTAATGAGATAATCTCACACCAATCCCTTTTAATCTCCTCTTATGGCATGCCTGGTTGATTACAGTCTTACTGTTCTTTGCCTCAGTTATAAGGCTCTGGTAACACACATAGTGTTCCACTTTTTGTTTAAAAAACAGCAAGTAAAATGGTTTGGCCACAACCACCACCAGGCCTTGTTCCACTCCTTGCTACTTAAACACAACAAGAAACAAGTCACATTTACCCTGATATTTTAAAAAAAAAAGTGTTTTGATTTTATTTTTTAAAGTGTTTGAGGCATACATCAGAAACAATTTAAAAAAAAAATTAAAAAATAAAGTCTTTCTTGCCTTCACTAGCTGAAAAATTCTGGCGCAGAGTCCTGGCTGTTCACCTACTTTTGTCCACTTCTGGACTTTAGTCTTTTTCCTGAACTTGACTTTTTGTGCATATCCGTTTTACAGATCTGACTTATTTGTATGCAGGCTGTTGTTTCCTTGCCTATCAGGCATATGCACTCTGACTTTGAAGGAAATGACCCTAAATATTCACTTTTTACAACATGCTTGTTAGTGGAATAATGAGTCTCTTGTACCACCACACTGGAGACCTGGAGCCCACATCGAGAATACTGAGAGATGAGAAAGAAAAGAAGCAAGATTTTCCCTATTTATCCTAGGGTGTATACTGATGTAGGGAATAAAATCATAAAGAGTCAGCCGATCAGGGCGAAAATCAAATGGAAACTGCAGAAGGGTGGTTTATAGGGGAAGAAAATAATGTCATGAACATATAGAAAGCATAATATAGATGGTTAGTTGCGTATCCTTTACAGGACATTGCAGAACCAACCCCAACAGACCCTGGCTGTTGTGTGGTTTTTTCTATGCAAATTTATGTCCAGTAGTTTGCCATTGCCTTCTGGGCGGTCGGCTTTCTTGATACTACTGTCGAAATCAACGCAAGGCACATGGCCCGCAGCTGGGATCCAACCCGGCATCCCGGCATTACAACATAGTAACAGAGCGACATAATATAGATGACTCAAAAGAAATTAACTCATGAAGTGAATTAATTACCTGCATCAATAAAAGCTAACTAGTCAAGTTTTAATAGTTCCAACTGCATAGCAAACAGATCACCCCATAGTTGCTACATTCCTGTGTCAACAAAAATCACACAGAATGTTCATCAGTGTCCCTTTCTGAACAAAATTGATACAGACTGTCTTCTCCGCAAAGGCAATATTATACAAGTGCATTAAATACATAATGCAACTATCAGAAGTGCCAACACAAACTGTCCAGCTCTAGAAATGCTGTTCATCATTGTTACAACAGATCAGTAGTTGAACACGCAAATAATCCCATAAAGCAGTGATTCCTAAACTGTGCACCGCGGTGAACCGGGAAGCCACGACCTCTTCACAGTGGCACCACAAAATATTGTAAAAGCTTCATAATTAATTTAACTAAGACACAAATAGTCATACTTTTACTTAGGTTAGGGCCCCGTGGAAACATTTGTATAGTAAAAAGGCACTGCGACCAAGAAAATGGATGAAAAACCTTATCCTTTGTCTAGATTTGGAGGAAAATGCAAGGCTAACTTTTGTGACAAGCAAAGACTAGCCACGACTAAAAACAGTAAACTTGCCTCTCCTTCATTAGATTTTTGGGCATGTCATGAGAAAATAAAACCTGAAGTGACAATGGTAAAGTCTGAAAGGAGGAAAGGTTGTGGGAGACTGAAAGCAAAGATGGTGAACGGTTTGGCTTCATAGCAGGGTAGACAATTTGTACCAGAGATTGTTGGCAGTACATGAGACAGAAGGCTGTGCACAGATATGACTACCAGTGGACTGTTAGAAGATCGTGATGCACAACAATATTGAACTGAATGTCTCTTCTGTGTTTTTTAAGGTTTTTTTTTTCTCTCCAAATATAGACACACAAACTCTGTACTGATTCATCAAACCTTGACTAGTGCAGTCACTGTCTTCATTTTTGTACCTAAATGGAGTCTCTGTGACAAAGTGGTCGAGCTGTTTGCCTCACATTCTGAAGGTCATGAGTTCTTTTCAGACTGCTTCATTCAGTTCATGAGTGAAAAATTTTTTTTTTTTTTGGGGGGGGGGGGGGGGGGGGGGGGTAGATCCCTGGGGATTGTCGCAGAGGCTATGGAATGTGTGCCTTGTGTTACCTTCACAACAGGTTGCTGGTCATTCTGTGCAGACAGACTCAGCTATACAAGTTAAAAATCAGTGCAGTGAAGTTTATCCTTTCATTAACAAATTATAGGCCTGAAGTAAACAATTGAGTGGACTTGGAGACAGTAGTTGCAGTGTTTGAGAGAATCACAAGTAGACTGTCAGTTGTAGTATCTATAAAGTAGACTGTCAGCTGACAAAGATTTGTGAGAGAGAGAGAGAGAGAGAGAGAGAGAGAGAGAGTATGTATGTGTGTGGGTCAGGAGTGGGTGGGGGGCATGCGTGCGTGTGCATGCCAGGAGAGGAAATAAATAAGCTGACAGGCTTGTAGATAGGGCTAGACCAGACTTAAATATTGAATGCTTTATGAGAAGTAAGACGTTTGTGAGAATCAAGTGATAACTGAATCTGCAACCATGACCAAGTTTACAAAATAGCAAGCGCAGAGGTGTAAGACCAGACAAGAACATCATGCAGGAAACAAGAATAATAATAACACACATTTTTGTCATCAGCTGCTACACATTGTAGGATGAGCTGAGGAGGGGATCTGAGTACTTATGAACTGAATGATTCGATGTGTAGTGAGGATGATCTGTCGATGAACTTATTAACTAACTAAACAGTACAAATGTTATTCAATAAAATGAAGTAGCATTGCAACAGTGGGATAAAAGTAACATTGATTTACTCTGGTCATGCTATTGTTGCACTAGGCATATGGTGTTTTACCATATTTTTAATGACTATCCAGCATTTAATGGGTGATGCGATAAACATAACAGCTGCCTGTACTTTCCAGGACATTTCCTTGTATCATTTTAGAATTTTGATTTCATAGATAGTAAATAATGATTGTTCTTTATTCCAAATTGTTATTATTGTTCAGAGAAAGAACACTAAGGTTTGCACTGGAATCAGGCGACTACATCATTGTTCCGTACACCAGCAGGGCAGGACAGGAGGCTGACTTTTATTTGCGAATCTTTGCTGAAAACAGAGGCTCCAGGTAGGAGACTGTTGTGTGAAACAGATGGAAACTTCTTCTTCTTCCTCTTCTTCTTCTCCTTCTCCTTCTTCTTCTTCTTCTTCTTCTTCTTCTTCTTCTTCTTCTTCTTCTTCTTCTTCTTCTTCTTCTTCTTCTTCTTCTTCTTCTTCTTCTTCTTCTTCTTCTTCTTCTTCTTCTTCTTCTTCTTCTTCTTCTTCTTCTTCTTCTTCATCTTCTTCTTCTTCTTCTTCTTCTGCTTCTTCTTCTTCTTCTTCTTTTTCTTCCTCCTATTCTTCTTTTTCTTCTTCTTCTTCTTCTTCTTCTTCTTCTTCTTCTTCTTCTTCTTCTTCTTCTTCTTCTTCTTCTTCTTCTTCTTCTTCTTCTTCTTCTTCTTCTTCTTCTTCGTCTTCTTCTTCTTCTTGTTCTTCTTGTTCTTCTTGTTGTTGTTCTTCTTCTTCTTCTTCTTCTTCTTCTTCTTCTTCTTCTTCTTCTTCTTCTTCTTCTTCTTTTTCTTCTTTTTTCTTCCTCCTATTCTTCTTTTTCTTCTTCTTCTTCTTCTTCTTCTTCTTCTTCTTCTTCTTCTTCTTCTTCTTCTTCTTCTTCTTCTTCTTCTTCTTCTTCTTCTTCTTCTTCTTCTTCTTCTTCTTCTTCTTCTTCTTCGTCTGCATCTTCTTCTTCTTTGTCTGAGTGATGTAATTGTGTTGTGCCTGGTTACAGCATAGCTGTGATTTTTGTGATTTTCAGCTGACATATCCATCATCATCTGGCATTTGTTTTCCAGGTTAGCCCTCCTGGATAAAGATATTTAGTAATTATTGTCATCATAATGAGCCTTGCCAATAAGCACAGGTTAGGCAATGGGCAGTAATACATTCAGTATTTAGTGATTGTCATTACAGAATGCACTCAGTCACGATTTCTGTATTTAATAACTTCCCTGGTCTCTGGGTAGTAAGATCGGATGCTCGTGTGTATTGTTGCGCAGGTAAAAAAAAATACCTTGGTTGTTGGAAATCGAAAATAGTAGCCTAGCAGCGCTGCCCAGGCAAAATTTTGAGTTGAAAATCTACTCTAAGTATTCCAGGATTTTCACTTGTGCTATGGAGTTTGTGCACTGCTCTGAGATTCTTCTTTTTACTTAGGCTTGAGTCAGAAGTAGAACGGAGCACTTATGGGTTACTACCCTTGTGCCATGATGTTGATCCGTCGTCTAACCCTAAACAATTGGGGTAGACACTGATGAATATGTTGAGAGGGGAATCTGAGCACCTATATGTGCGTCCGGAGTGCTGTGAAGATAATCTAAGTCATAAACAACCAGTATTAAATTGATTAAATTAGTTATTTTAACACATGGCACATTGTATCTTTTGCTGCATTTGTGAAAATTATTAATTCAGACTTTTTAAATTTTTGACTTTTGCTTCCCTCTTTCATCAGCAGGTAAAACTGTCTAGGGCCAAACGAGTTAAAGAGAGTAGGTTATTATTGAAAGGTGGTAGACTGTAGTTGTAGTATCCGTGAAAGGTAGACTGTCAGTTGTAGTATCCATAAAAGTAGACTGTCAGTTGTAGTATCCATAAAGGTAGACTGTCAGTTGTAGTATCCGTGAAAGGTAGACTGTCAGTTGTAGTATCCATAAAAGTAGACAGTCAGTTGTAGTATCCATAAAGGTAGACTGTCAGTTGTAGTATCCATAAAGGTAGACTGTCAGTTGTAGTATCCATAAAGGTAGACTGTCAGTTGTAGTATCCGTAAAGGTAGACTGTCAGTTGTAGTATCCATAAAGGTAGACTGTCAGTTGTAGTATCCGTAAAGGTAGACTGTCAGTTGTAGTATCCGTAAAGGTAGACTGTCAGTTGTAGTATCCATAAAGGTAGGCTGTCAGTTGTAGTATCCATAACAGTAGACTGTCAGCTGTAGTATCCATAAAGGTAGACTGTCAGTTGTAGTATCCATAAAGGTAGGCTGTCAGTTGTAGTATCCATAAAAGTAGACTGTCAGCTGTAGTATCCATAAAAGTAGACTGTCAATTGTAGTATCCATAAAAGTAGACTGTCTGTTGTAGTATCCATAAAGGTAGACTGTCAGTTGTAGTATCCATAAAGGTAGACTGTCAGTTGTAGTATCCATAAAGGTAGACTGTCAGTTGTAGTATCCATAAAAGTAGACTGTCAGTTGTAGTATCCATAAAAGTAGACTGTCAGTTGTAGTATCCATAAAAGTAGACTGTCAGCTGTAGTATCCATAAAGGTAGACTGTCAGTTGTAGTATCCATAAAGGTAGACTGTCAGTTGTAGTATCCATAAAAGTAGACTGTTGGTTGTAGTGTCCATAAAGGTAGACTGTCAGTTGTAGTATCCATAAAAGTAGACTGTCAGCTGTAGTATCCATAAAAGTAGACTGTCAGTTGTAGTATCCATAACAGTAGACTGTCAGTTGTAAAAAAAAAAAAGTAAAGATCCCTTTTCACGCCTTTCGGCGCATCGGGCATATGGGCAGAGCGTCCCATATTTTTACAGACCGTCAGCACTCTGTGGGTAATGTGGTCAGCATTACGCCGGCTGTCTTTACTTTCCCAGGACAGCCCATCCTGGTACCCATTTTAGGCTGGGTCGACCTGCGACGTCCCATACCACGATAAAAATCCACGCAGCCCACGCAGGTTTCGATCGCGGTATGCTGGCTTACGAGTCGGACTCGCAACGCCTTAGCCACGGAATAAAAGTAGACTGTCAGTTTTAGTATCCTGAAAGAAGATGGTAAAGTAAAGAGTATCTATACAGATTTTCAGTAAATAAATGAAGTTTGTGAGTGATGATGGTAAGTAATGAAAGATGTCTTCCCAGCTGCTTTGTAATGCCACAACTTCCTAATGTCAGGGTGCTGGGTTTGATCCCAGCTGCAGGCCTTTTGGCAGCAGACCACCTTGTTTTGGTTTTGACAGTGGAGCTGACCTTTCAGAGAGAAATGGCAAATTACTGAATGTAAATTTGCCTAGAAAAACTACAACACCTGAAAAGTTTTGGGGTTAGTTCTGCAATGTCCTGTAAAGGAGACTCAGCTAACTTTTGCATTCCTAGTTGGCTCCCTATCAAGCATGTCAGAAAAGTCAACTTTTTAGAAGTTTGTTGAAATGTGATGTGTTGGACCAAAAGGCACAGATATTAAAGCCTTGCTGTAAATCACAGCACAATACGCCAACTGCTCTTTAAAGGCTGAACACAGAAAAAGAAGAAAAAAACGGATGTCACAGCTTTACAGTTTCATGTGTTACAAATTCATACTTCCACAGCCCTGTCACAACAACAGAAATTAGGGAAACTCCTTCAAAACCGGATCCAAAAACAACTAGTGTATGTATTATATTAATACATGTCATTTGAAAATACTGTGTGTCTGCTTGTTCTATGGTTATTGTATTCTGCATGCTTTTGGAAAGTACAACATTTAAAAACACTTATTGCAGTAAATTAGAACAACTGACATGGCCTGAAAAGGTTTTCTAGGAATCTTTGATTAGGGTGTATTCTGCAGAAACACTGCAACAGGATGAGAATTTGGGAAACATTCATTATTATTGTTCAGTGTAAACTCCCAGTGTGGGGGTTTTGAAACCCTTTTTGGGGGGTGGGGTGTAGATCCACTCCCCCCAACAAGAATGGCTATAAACTTCAGTTGTATTTTGTACAACTGAAGTTTATAGTGGGTCAGTACAGAGAAGAAGAAACAATCAAACTGCAGCAGGATGTTAGAAAGAGGATATGGCTAGAAAAAATAGAATAGGATAGGTGTTAGTTCTGATAAAGTATAAAGACAACATATTCAAGGCATATTATTGTTATTTTTATTTACAATTTAATATAGAACCTTTCACCACATGTTGAAACAGGCTGGCTGTATGGTGGCAACCCCATATTGAAAGCTAGTTGTGTATCCTTTATAAGATGTGGCAGAACCAACCCTAGCATTGTTTTGGCTGTTGTGGTTTTCCTAGGCAATTTTACTTCAGGTTGTTTGCCATTGCTTTCTGGATGATTGGCTTCTCGATACCACTGTTGAAACCAACGCAAGACGCAAGGCCCGCAGCTGGAATCCAACCTGGCAGTCTGGCATTACAAAGCATGTTTGCAATGCCTAAGACAGAGAGGTCAACACTAGGTCATATGCTACACTGAAATAAATCTTTAGAGCTTGACTGCATCCAAAAAACTCAAGCTGCCAGACATTTTATGTGTTGCATCAGTTATTTTCACTACAACTGGATTAAGCGATATTGTTTTATGTTGTCATCAACCGGTAAAGATTTAATGAGCAGGTGGAAGACAGAGGGAAACGGCAACATCAGATTTCAAAGTATAAGCTTATGAATGGTCACAAAGCTAGATTTAAGAGGGTGTGAGACATGTGAGGAACTTCTTTAAGATGTTCAGACTGAATTATCTGGGTCCCTATGTGGGTTCTGGGACCCCATTGTGGGGAAAACAATAGACCCGCTGCCTCCCTATCAAGCATGTCGTAAAAGTCAACTAAATGGGTGCTGCCTTGTAAGTCTGAATGCATCTGCCCGAGAGGCAAGGAACCAACAATCTGCATAAAAATATGTCAGATCTGTAAAATGGGTGTGCATGAAACACTCAGGTTCTGGTACAAGACTAATGTCCAGAGGTAGACGAACAACCAGAACCTTCCACCGGAGTTTACAGCCGGTGAGCACGAAGAAGAAGAAGAAGAATTATCTGGTATCACAAGACCTGGTCTGCCATGTTGACCTAGCCAAAAATGGGTGTCAGGACATTTTCTGGGAAGTGAAAGTGACAAGTATAATATTGAAACAGTTACTGATTGAATAGGGTTATCATCATATACTTAGGGCCCAAGACAACATAATCGTAATATTATCTTTCTTATTATTCTGGCTCTTAATGTGTATCCAGGTTACAGCTACTTTGAACAAAGCTTTTGATGGCCTAGCTGGCAACGTTGGTATGATTGATGCAGCTGATTTAGTTGAGATTTTGAATGCTGCCATTGAGACAGGTTATATTCTTCATGTCTCTTGTGTAGTTAGTTGATGTTACAGTGACACTTTACATATATACACACACACGCACGCACACACATACATATGTATCACAAAAATGTATGTCAACTTCAACAAAATAAAAACCTGACAAAAATTGTAATACCAAATTAATACAGACATTTTGGGATAAATGCAAGCTACCATTGCCTTCTGCAAATACAAGAAAGCTTTAGAATGGTTACTGTTTGAATCCTGACATTTATTATTATTGTGAACTGCAGCTAGGGCAGTTACCCATATTTAGTGTTCTACTTCACGGGAGACCCCAGTTCGAATCCTCGGTAAGGATAGGGATATTTTTTTGTCGGCGCAAAATTAAATCCTCACCTGCACAGTCGTGGCGACAGCACTAGCCATGCGGCCTTAAATCCTCAGGCTGAAAGACCCCCCTGCCTACACCGCAAAAGTGGTATCACAAAGGCAATAATTAGTAGCTTTTTTGGCAGTATTCTACTTCCTCAGTGGCATAGTGTTTAGCCAAGATAGTTAAGTTTAATCTCCAGACAAAAGCAGGATTATTTTTGTGCATGAAGTAGGGTCGACCAAAAATGTTAGTTGTTTATCCTTTACAGGATTTTGCAGAACTAGCCCCAGCATTTTTTTATTTTACTGTTTGGGGTTTCACTAGCCAGTCTTACATTTAGCAGTTTGCCATTACTTTTGAAATTGTCAGATATAGATACCATGGTCAAAACCAATGCAAGGCAGTCTGCTGCCATATCACCTCCAGCTGGGATCAAACCTGGCACTATGGAATTATGAGATGTGTTCATGACAGCCAAGCCATAAATGCTGACAGGGTTAACCAAGCTTTGCCACAAAAACAAAAGTACCAGATAACCTTCAGAATCTTCTGTCAATTGGTGGGGAGAGAAAGATGACAAAGAAGGAAACCTTCTATGTCATGGCCATGATAATATTCAAGGTCTGACACCGGCGTCCAACACATGTTATTGACCTGCTAAATCACAGTATATATTGTCATTAAACATCTAAAACAAGGCATATAATTCTTCTAAAGATCAAATTATTATGTATCTCTATGTGGGTTCTGGGGCCTCATTTGGAGATAAAGAATAGACCCACTGCCTCCATACCAGGCATGTCCTAGAAGGCAACTAATTAGGGGTGTTTCCTCCAAAGTAGGAATGCATCAACCTGAGTCAGTGGCAGGGACCATCAGTCTGCATACAAGAAAGCCAGATAGGTAAAATGGATTTGCATGCAAAATTCAAGTTCTTGAACAAGACTAGAGTCAATAAAGGGAAAGGGGGGGGGGGGCAATGGATCTGTTCTATTATTATGACCTGGAGAGAATGAGGCACCTGGGTGTAACCAGAGGGTCTGGCCAGCTCACTACACTCAGAGGAAAGGCAAGACAGACTTTTAACCAGATTGTGACCGGTACCATCAGTATTGGAAATCTGCACTGGCTGCTGAAGATGAGGACAGAGCATGCATGGAAATGCCCCGATTGCTGTGATGTCAATTCTTGACTCAACTCAACTGGATCTGTTCTTTTTTTTCTCTCAGAATGGGGCCCTGGAGCTCACACAGGGAGAAAGAAGATCAAGAAAGAAGATAAAGAAAGAAGATAAAGAAAGAAGATAAAGAAAGAAGATAAAGAAAGAAGATAAAGAAAGAAGATAAAGAAAGAAGATAAAGAAAGAAGATAATAAAACTATTCATTGATCCAATAAAACAAACAATTTCTTGGTTAACACTTTTTATGTTCTTCTTTCAGCTGAAGGAAAATCAGTCACTTTCATTTTTGAGACATGTCGCTGTCTTATTTCATTGGCCACAGTATCCTTACAGTTGGAATTTACAATCAAAATTGTGTTTTGCTAAACAGAATTGTTATGTCCTGATGAACGAGCAAGTATCAAAAGGAAAAAGCTGCATAATTTGTTTAAGACACATAAATAAATGAGATTAAGGGATATAATATTTGTAAACAAATATAAACATATGTCCAACATTGGTAATACCAGCCGTATTGCAGGAGGTCAGGTGACAGTATGAAAGAGCAGAAGTATAACACTAATCATTCAGAAGAGAACGAGGCAACAGTGAGTGACCAGGAGATCTGGTCTACACTCAACACACAGAGAAAAGGCAAGAGAGACATACAATCACAGCACTACTAGCACCATCAGAACTGGAACTCTGGGCTGGCTGCCAAAGATGGGAGATGGAGCACTTGTGGGAATGTCCCAGGGACTGAATTCGATTTCTAGTTGCTTGCTCACTGTTCAAGTTTCTGCACCTCATAACAGGACTGAGTATACATAACATTGGATGATTCTCATTTTCAGTGTGTTGTTAATCTCTCTAGCTGTCAGTAGCACATCTTACTGAAGACAGTTTTAGCTATTCCTGTTCTCTTTTTAATTTCTGTTTCATTCTTCCATCATCTGTTACTACGTGTCTAAGATTGGAAAAACTTGTTACTTGTTCTCTCAGCTCTCCATTTACAGTGATGTATACTGTTGGCATCTTCTTCATTGTTAATTATAATAGCTTTTGTTTTTCGAATGTTAATGTCTAAATCATACTCTGCACTCCACCTCTTGACTTAATGAACTAGTTCTTGTAACCCCTGCTCGCTTTTTGCTAGTAGCACTGTGTCATCCACATATCTCAGATTGTTTATAGTTCTTTCATTAATATTCAAGTCTGCACCATCTTCCAGTGCACATAATGACTCTAATGATGTGATTTGTGAAGTTACCCTTGAAAATATTTTTGCTGTAAATTATGGCAAGGGAAATTAATAATTTTTTAGAAAAAGTAATTACCCAGCATAAATTAATTTCTGCAGTGCTGTTTAGGTTTAAGTGTGTTTGCCTTTTACTCATTGTTGAGTCCTTGACATCTGATAAAGACACAGTCGTCTGCGGGACTCATTGATCGGGATGGATTACACAGTGTCTGGAAACAGCTTGCTACCTGGCGGGTATGATATTTACCATAATTGTCATTAATGTATGCACATATAGAGATAAGTAAAATAAAAAGTAAAGGACCCTTTTCCACGCCCTGAGATGTATAGGGCATATAGGGCTAGACCTATATTTTATAGACCACTGGCACAAGATGGGTGATGTGGTCAGCATCAGGCCGGCCACCTCTACTACCCAGTACTGCACCCAGTACCCACTCAAGGCTGGGTCGACCCGGGAGCCAATTTCATTTTTGAAGAAAAGTCCGGCTCCGCCAGGGAGCGAACCCACGACCTTCACATATGGAGATACTGTCCTAATTTTAGTTTTTAAATTTTTTTTTTGCAGTAACATGTCATATAGTCATACTAGCACAATTAATATTGTTCCCTTGTTTGTATGATTTTGGATCTGCCCAATTGAAAAGTGCATTTTTCTTTTTTAAATCATTTATCTAGGAAGCATTTCGAGTCATTGACAAAGATGCAAATAGATTGATTGATGCCAAAGAGCTGAAGAATTTGTTTGATATAATTGGTGAGTTTGTTTTTACATACATATCTTTTATTGTGCCTAGTTATGTATTTTAGATGTCTGTGCATTTATTACTTTATCCGTATTTCTTGTTCAAGGCAAACAAGGGAAGTAATGCTGGTAGTGCATTTCAGATGAAATGTCTGCAGTGAATCCTAAATATAATAAGAAGAGACATAATCAGAAATGATATCAGGAAACAAGTTAGGTTGAGTTGAGCTGAGTTTATCCAAGAACTAACGTCACAGCACTCGTGGCATTCCCATAAGCGCTCTGCCCACATCTTCAGCAGCCAGTGAATAGTCCCGATACTAATGGTGTCAGTAGCATTCTGATTAAACGTCCGTCTTGCCTTTTCTCTGAGCCTCGACCATCTGCCAGAACCTCTCGTCACTCCCCACTCCATCAGTCTCACCAGACTGTGGTGATTCATCTGCTCCCCCGAACTGTACATGCTCTCCCACAAGGCACTAACCATGTCTGCCTTATCATGCATCAGTATTTCACCAAGTGTGTAGAGCCAGCCAGTCTGTCCGGCTGTTCATTTCCCAACACACCGGCGTACCCTGGTGAAAAAATCCAGACAATACTCCTCACCCATGTCCTCCACAGCAAAGTATGCCACTCTGCAAGAAACATGCTTATCCTGATCTTCCTCAGCATGCTTTCTAAGTCAGTTACAATCACAATGTGTGTGTATGTCATGTTCTCTAACCAGCGGAAAGCTGCAGTGACCCCCTCCACCTCCATTCTTAAGCTGGATGTTGTGGTATCATATGCTAGGCTTTCCTGCACCAAACGTCGACCATTAACTTTTGCTAAAAAAAAAAAAACAACCAAGCATTTCTTTTGCCTCTTGACACTGAACCGTCTGTGTAAATAATCAAATCCTCTGAGTGAGTGAGCATTATCTTGAATTAGTTGCTGAATTTCCACCTCTGTGGCACCTGCTGGCCATTATCTGCGTTCCCGGCTCAGCATGATTATGACCCTACACAAGTCTGACTGTTCAGGTGGCACTTTGACCCACTCTTCTCTTCGCCTTATGTTCTCAAGGATGCAAACCTGTCTAATTATGTCTTTTGCCTGAGCTATTCATGACTTCCCTCATCAGCGGCTGACCCTTAACTGCAGAGGGTGGTCTGTGTCTGCAGCTACCCTGAGATATAACTTCATGTGCAGCACCTTGTGCCTACCTGCAACAGTCGGCAAACTAAGGATGTACTGCATACAGGCCACTGGGGTATCTCTGGTGCAACCCAGAATGACCCGCATAGTTGCATTCTGTATGCGCTCTAGTTTGTCCATCTGGCTCTTTGAGACAGTATGCAGTCCCGGGCCATAATCAACCACTGACAGGATTAGGTGCTGACTTAGTGTGAAAAGCATTCTCTGCTATATGTCAGTTGCAGCCATAGTCTTAAGTGCACCAAGTCCTTTTTGGCATCTTGTCACAACACTCTCCACATGGTCCTAAAAGGACAGGCTTGCTCTCTCTGTTAACGTTTCTACCATCTATCGTGAGACTTGGGACATTAGCTCTAACAATCCTGTTGTCTAGAGAACACCACAATTTGGGATAAAACAGTCTTAAACTTAATCAAGAAACCGCTTTAGTGAAGAAAGCACTCACAATGGAACACCTCAACAACATGTTCCCACAGGACAGCTGGACCAGAATCTACACGGATGGATCAGCAAAAGAGGCAACTACGAATGGTGGGGCAGGTGTTTACATAAAACACCCAGATGCCACTACTGTGTCCCTAGCAGCCCCCACTGGACGAACTTGCTCTAACTACAAGGCAGAACTCTCAGCCCTATTGATGGCAGCCCAGTATATGAACAATCTGCAAATCACCACAGGCAGGATAGTTTTTCTCACTGACTCACTGTCAGCTATACAGGCCCTTGAGTCCAAACCTACCGACAGCACACTACAAAGTCTAACACATGAACATGCTATGTTGTCAAATAAGGCAGAAATTCACTTGCAGTGGATTCCGTCACACTGTGGCATCAAAGGCAATGAAAGCGCAGATGCTTTAGCCAAGGAAGGCAGTAACAAACCACAGACCTACCAGCCACTATCTTTTCCAGAAGTCAAAACTCTCATTAAGAGAAAATCAGAAACAGATTGGAAAACCAACACTGGTTATAACTACGAAAAAGATTTTCTGAAACACTTGAACAGAACAGACCAAGTCACAGTTTTTCGCTTACGCACTGGACACTGCAGACTCAATAAACACTCACATAAATTAGGTATGAGCCAAACAGCTTTCTGCCGGTGCCTTCGTGCTGAACAGACTCCAGAACATGTCCTGCAAGACTGTCCTCTCCTGGCGGAGCTGCGGAGCGACATATGGCAACACCCAGTAGAACTGACAACTAAGCTTTGGGGAAACCTAAGAGACCTTGAAAAGACATCCCAGTTTATGACCCACAGTGGATTATGTGCATGACCAGAGATCGCTGAAGAAGAAGAATCAAGAAACAACAGATCAACAAGTTTAGTGAACCACAGAGAGCCCTGTCAGTTAGACCCTACACAAACAGAACTAGAGATCACCCATGCAGACATAGGGATAGATGGAATATCTGAATGACAGTGTCTACACGGTGCACACCAAGGCTTGCTTTGTATGTCTGTTCCTTACATGTCACTTTTCCTGTGTGAGAGCATGTCGTAAAAAAAAAACTAATTAGGGGAGTTTCCTTCTATGTCAGAGTGCATCTGCCTGATAATGAGAAACCAATAGTCTGCATAAAAATATGCCAGATCTGTAGAACAGTTGTGCACACACATTCATGTTCTGAAACAAGACCAAAGTCCAAAAATGGACACACAACTAGAACTTTTGGCTGGAGTTAATGCCCTCTGAGTGCTAAGAAGAAGAAGAACAAAACCTGGCACTGTAAAGCAGACCAGGATCTAGAGAAAAGAAAGCGAGAAAGATCTCAGGCTGTGTGATAGAAGAATATCAGTAGGATTTACCTAACAAATAACAGAACTGAGATCTGTGGAGTTAAGTGAATGTCTATGCCATCTGAAAAGGCACATGATGATGGTTTCATATGTACCAAGCATTATAAATGAGGGAGTCATGGAACTGTTTCCTCAGTAAACAAATATAAACATCTGTCCAACATTGGTAATATCAGCTGTATTGCAGTCGGTCAGGTGACAGTATGAAAGAGCAGAAGTATAACACTAATCATTCAGAAGAGAACGGGGCAACAGTGAGTGACCAGGAGATCTGGTCTACACTCAACACACAGAGAAAAGGCAAGAGAGACATACAGTCACAGTACTACTGTTATCATCAGAGAGGGAGATGGAGCACTTACGGGAATGTCCCAGGTGTAGTGATGTCAGTTCTTAACTCAGCTCAGCTTGAAGAAAGAGGAAAGCATAAATATCTGGATATTGTGAAAGAAATTAGTAAACAGATGACAACAGATTAATCAACCATTTATACAGACATATTTATTCTTTACACAGATATGTATCATTTACACAAACAGTTCAGTTATTCTCATAGATGGATCACTCATGTACATAGATTTAAATTATGAATGTTGAATTCTTCTTCTTCTTCTCTGTTCACCGGCTGTAAGCTCCAGCTGAATGCACTTGTTGTTTATCCATTAGGACTTTGGTTTTGTACCACGGCCTGAGTTGTGCATGTCCATCTGTTTTAATGGCTTCTCGTGCACTGTTGATTGTTTCTTGCCACTCAGGCAGATGTACCCCCACTTTAAAGGAAGCACCCAGCTAGTCAACTCCTACAAAATGCTTGTTGGGGAGGAAGTGGGTCTATTCTTTTTTCCTCGACAATGGGTCCCCAGAACCCACATGGGGAGAAAGTTGAATTAAGAATCGACATCACAGCACACAGGATATTCCCATAAGTACTTCACCCCTATCTTCAACAGCAAGCGCAGAGTTCTAATTCTAATGTTAGCAGTAACAGTCTGATTGTAAATGTCTCACTTTTATCTTAAGTACTGAGTATCAGCCATAGCTCCTGGTCACAGTTCACAGAATATTCTCCTCAGACTCTGGTGGTCTGTCCGCATCACCACGCTATTAACTGGCTTCTGAAGGACCTTACAGCATCTAGCTTGTCGTGCATCAGTTCACTACCAAGTTATTTAGAACTAGCCAGTCTATCTGCCTATTAGTTTCTCAACACACTGATCCACAAAGACAAAAATATTAACACAAAACTATTTACAGGTGTAAACGACCTCTCAGAAACAGCTATATTTGCCAGTGTGACCACCTCTGAAACATATATTAAAGAAACTATAATTTTTGTGTAGTCATTATTAGAACAAATGCCTTGGGCATCTCATTTCACATGTTTCTTTAAATGTAGGTTAGCCTTTGATAATGTCTCAGTTTGGCCTTGGTCGCACAGTGTTGGTATGACTATGCTGTATGTAATCTGTTTCTTTGTGGTCATACTTATGTTTGGATGTCTTAATAACGGCGTCAGTTGTTTCATAGGTGCACTGGCTTGTTAGCATCTTATTTTTATTTCCCAATCTATTCTCCCATCCTCCAAGAATATACTTCCTAGATATTTAAAGTCTTTAACTTGCTTCAGCAAGTGCCATTCTACTGACCTGATTGACTTCAGTTTTATTTGTTTTTACTTTTATATTATGCTTCTGTGTGGTGGACATAGTCAAAACGTCTTGTAGTCTATTTGGTACTTTATTTTTAATTCACCCTAAAGACAAGAAATCCCCGAGTTCACAGGAAAGGCCAGTATTCTAGGGGTTAGGGCTAGGAAATCCCTAACCTCAACCCATAACACCCCTAGAATATTAGAGTTTCCCAGGAACTCCAGGATTTTCTTTGTTCAGGGTGATTCAAAAATAAAGTACCATCTACTCCCTTCACTCTAGAACAGCACTAATTGTCTACAAATAGTAGCTCGTTTATTGTGGGTGGGATCTGATTCTCCTTCTGGAACAAGATATTTTACACAAAAATACATGTACATGCCATTCTGATTGTTTGTGACACACAGAACTATCCACTTCACCTGTGATGGTTGAGGCCTTGATGAAACGTTACGGTGGCAAGAATGGGAAAATGTCTGAAGATGATTTCCTTCAGGGTGTCTGTAAAGCTTTACTGCTTCGAGGTAAATATTTTTTATGCATATTTCTTCCTCAATTTTTTTTTTCAAAAGAATTCACTCTGACTATTCTCTGTGCATCAAGCTTGTGTGGTCTGGTTATATCAGACATGGCATACTCTTGCAGATAATCTTTCAGGGATGATGTGAGATCAAGCAAAAACTGAAATCAAAGAAAATTCTAGAGTTTCAGCATTAAATGATGGACATAATTGACTATTTCCACACACATGTTTACACATTGCTGAGAACACAAGAGTGGTGGAGGACACTGACTGATGCTTCAGACATGAAACCTCTGTGTGGGTTTTGAGATTCAGCTTTGAGCAGAATAAAAGAATAGACCCACTGCTCTCTTCCCTCCCCCTCCCCCACCACCCACCCCCCGCTTTTTATCTCCATGCACATGTCATAAAAGACAACTATTTAGGGGTGTTTCCTTGTAATTCAGATTGCATCTGCCTGAGAGATGGGGAACCAACAGTTTGCATACAGATAAGCCAGATCTGTAAAAGAGATGGGCATACAAAACTCTGGTACAAGACCAAAATCTGCAAGTCGATGAACTGTCAGGACTTGTGTTCCTCTTCACAGAGGGATGCATACATAATCCATCTGAGTGAGAGGTGGACACATCAATATAAATCATCCCTTCCTTGTCTTCAAAATCTGCTGTATTTAGTATGTATTCCTGTAATTGATCCAAATTACTTTTCATTTTTTTATTTTTTTCAGGGAAATATTTGGAGCTGAAAAGAAATGGTAGAATTGTGGACATTGAAATAAGTGAGGTAAGACATAACTGTTGTCATCAATATTGGCATTGGCTATTAGGCTTCTGCACATCGTATACTATTAAACAGTTCATGTGCGGACACTCATACCATAGGCATCAGTCTGTCACTGATCATCTCTCATTGTTTGCCTCTGTCTCACTTTCCAGCTGAGCAGCTGCTACTGGATGGCCAAGGCTGAAACTCTAGTCCCGCACGTATGTGACCTAGACGAGATCAAGCATGGAAGAAAATGGACAGAGATACTACAGTAGATATGCACAACTTCTCTAGGGTTGTCGTAATACTTGGGGGTACTGCAGGGATCAACTTAGCCATCTGGAACAAACAAAAAATAAATGATACTATCAGACAGACTGTGGGAACATCACCATGCACCAAATTCATTGAAAAAGTGAATAGCAAAACATTTAATATATCAGTGTGCATTAGAATTGTTCATCCTACTAAAACAACTACCAACGCATAAAGAGATCTGATAGGATAGCAAGAGGTCACCTTAGCAGATAATGGACTGATGACATTAAAGACTTTCTACACCATCACGGAAAGACAGTAGCTTTTGCTACCCATTAGGCAATAGATCACAAACCATTCCTCTTAATGGTAAAAGTGGAAATTGATGAGAATGATGTCTGGGAAACCAGTTCTGAAGCTTCAGTAGAATTTGGTGACTTCTTTACTAATTGTCAGAACTGAGGTGAGACATGCAGTTTTATATCTACAGCAAACCTAACTAACAACTGTTTGGTAACTGCCAGACTAAAAACTTCTCAACTATTTTTGTCCCATTCAGTTGTAACTTTAACTTGTTCACCCAGGGAGTTGTAGGAATTATGTTGCATTGAGTTGATATAGAATAGGTGCACACTCAGTCTGGTAGTCTGGCCTGGTAGTCTTAGTTTCAACTTCATAGCAAACATGTCACCCTATCTTTGCTCCGCTCCTGTGCCAACGAAAAACACACAGAATGTTTATCACAGTCCCTTGTGGAAAGATTGACAGACTGCTGTCTCAGCATATCTACCATACACTCACATTAAAGCATACAGTAGCCATCCGAAGTGCTAACACAAACAGTCCGACATTAGAAATGCAGTTCATCATTGATGGTAGCAGAAGTCACCAACAGATCAGCAGTTGCCCACGTGATCAATTTTAATCACATATAGGCACCACCAACATTGCACAACAGGCATTTTCTGAATCTACAATTCACACCACCACATTGGTCACAGTCGAAAAAACATTCAAAATGAAATCCGCAGCTCACAGCTGGGCGACGAAACTATATCCAGTCTACAAATGGAGCAAAAATGCATCGGCCACTGTCCGGCAGAAGCAAAAAATTTGCCTCGGCTTCGAACAGTGCCCCCTGCCTAGCGTCCATTTTGACGGGAAGACAAGAGGGGAGTACAAGAGGGGAGTCCAAGGTACTGGACTGGATTTCACACATGATAGCAAAAGAATCGTACAGGGTAGAACACAAAAGAAGAATTGACTGAAAGCCATCAAATTTGTCACTGCAAATAATATCTAAAAAAATATATATAATCAAACCCAACATATCTACACACTGTGCAGTAGCAACTGGTACCAAAGCTGTTTTCTACCTACACTGGCTAGCACCCATAAACGTCATATCATTGTAAACCCATAAGGGTCAGAAAACTGGCTTTCTCTGTAATGCAGGCGAAGCTACAGGGTTCCGATAGTCATTGGCTTAATGAAAGCAAGGTTCATAGGAGGAAAACATAGCACCAGATATGCGGTATGTGATGCATAATTAGATCTTTAAACACAACCCAACACACTTGTGATGAAAGAATTTACATATAAAAAGATGACAGAGTAACTGATAAAGCAGCAAACTCTGGGTCCTTGGATATAAACTGGTGGTAAGAAAGACAATTGCAGATGGGAAACATGCTCTTGTATGAGCAAGAAGCATTAAAATACTAAACCCAGGTGCAGTCAGTAAACAAGGCTAAATTGATTTCCTGGTAGAGATACATGTTGGGAATGACAGCAGACACATGAACTGACAAGGGACAAGGCTGAAACATAGTGGGTGTAAACTGAAATACTCACAAAGCTTTGTAACTTAAATTTTAAGAGACAGAAAGAGAAAACTTTGTTAGGAGGAAGAACTGTAACTGAAAACTAAAACTAGAAGACGGAACACTGTACGCAGTGACTATAGGTTGTTCTTCATACCCGGAGTCATCCCACAACCAGCTGCTGGGAATTGCAGGCTTAGTGTGAATATTTGTTGCTGATGGTTTTGGAAGTGAGGACACAACATCTGTATTCATATGTATTGATCTTTTGAAGTCTGAGTGCATCTGGCTGAGAGGCAAGGAACCAACAGTCTGCATACAAATTAGTCAAATCTGTAAAACGGATGCACATGCAACACTCAAGTTCTGGAATAGATTGCAATCCAGAAGTGGATAAACAACCAAAACTTTTTGCCAGAGTTTACAGCCGGTGAATGCGAAGAAAAAGAAGATATGTATTGAAATTATCATTGTTTGAACTGATGCTGGTTTCCGCAATAAACTATCTGGTGTAATACACTTGTCGGAGTCACTAGTCATGATGTTTTAAGAAAAAAACACTTATTCATTTTTTGCAATAAACTATACAATCATGATCAGTCATAAGAAGCCTCACCTGCCCATTGCATCATCCTTGTGCCATTTAGGACATGTTTGAAACTTGGGAACATAAAAAGCAAATACTTTGCCACATCTTGGGGTGTTGGGGTTATCTCTGTCTTTAACAATTTGTTTAGCCTTGAACATAAAGAACCTGCCTGTGAAACAAGGAATGTGTCAAAGGAATGGGAACCTCACAGCAGACCTCCTGTTGGGCTATGAAGTGTTCAGCCTCTACTCATTCTAGACTATGGTTGAGGTGACTGGCTGTCTTTCTCATCACATATTTTCCCCCAAAATTCCCAGAAAAATTTTGAAAATTGTATGTGAACATTGGAAATTAATACTAGCCAGAAAAAAATCTTCTATACTGATTGGAGAAATTAACCCTGCTTGTGCTTGAAACAGAAAATTGCAGTAGGACAATGGTTAGATCTTTGCCTGTCAACCCAGATATCTTGAGTTTGAATCTGCATTGAGGTAGATTTTTATAAACATTACCTAAGCTCCATGGTTAACCCAGCCAAAAATGGAATCTGGAAGTAAAAGTGCCTGGGTTGATACTGATCACTTCAGCCATCAAATGTCACCTGGCATACAAAAATATGGGTCAAACTATATGCCCAATGTACTGACAGCATGAAAGGGACCTTCACTTTACCTTTTAAAGCTGAAGATTGAACACTGACAACGGTCCTGGCAGGCAAGCACATTGATAGATTGCCTATGTGACAATATGCCTGTATGTTAGTGTGACTAATATTTAACCCTGTGACCTCAATACAGGTTAACACCTTGGCCAGTGGACAAATTATGGTGTCATAATTTCTATTAAAAAAGCTATTTTTTCACAGGAACCCCCTCTAAATGATAGTAACCACAGTCACTCCTGGTCCCAATCATTGTGTGGGCAGGTGCAAGCCATAACATTGTTAGTTCAGTTTCTTGTTTCCAACTTTTTTGTTCTATCAATTTTGAGTTAAAATCTGTTTTCAGTGGATGTCCTTTGGACTGGGTATTTGACCTGTAAGTAACATTCAACACCTGTGAAGAGATGATTGTGCTTCCTGTTGTACAACTGTACCCACATCTTCAAGAAGTCTGTGTGGTAGAATTGTGAAACATTTAAACATATCCACCTAAAATGTTGCTTAATATATTTTTTTTTAAACGATGTAATGATTTCTATGTAAACGTATGTTGAGGGCGGGTGAAAGTTTATTTGAATTCTCACTAGAATTGATTTTAATAAACTTTGAGAAAAGTTGTGAAAAAAAAAAATTTTTCTACATCATATTTTATATACTTTGTCCACCTATCATAAAAGCCTTCCTAGTCCCTTATGATAATTTTATAAATTGAGCTATGAATTGTGAATGTGTTGTTGCCTTCACTTCTTCATAAGATGGGAACCCTTGTACTGTAAGGGCTGCTTAAAGGAACCAAAAATATTGTCAGGGTTCTATGGCGCAAGATCAGGACAATGGGAAGAATGTTCTAGGATCTCAAAGTAAAGTTTTGTGCATTGTCGTAAGAGTGAGCAGAAGTGTACATATCGTCATTGTCATGCAAGATTCCATCACCCTTAGAAAGCAGTTCTCTGTGTTTAGGCTGCAGCTCTTCAATGAGCATCTCATTTAAATGGGCACTGCTGATATCTGAGCTATTTCTTCCTGTTCGCATTCTGGGATTCCATCTTCAGAGAAGAGGAGGAATAGAGCCAGTTCTCCTTAACCCTTCCACCCTGTTGACCAAGAAAAATACAGTGCCAGTGACTTGAATTAGGACATTCCTAAACAAATTCTTAAAATTGAGGAACAGCTTTTTTTTTCACAGGTCACATACGCGCAAATAACCGTTCCATTTATCAAACCCAAAAAACGTTACATTTCATACAGATCATGAGGAGTCATCAGTAAAAATTAATGCAGCAGAGAATGAACTGGGTCATATCTCTATTACAGTGACTAATTTTTTTCTGCTGTGACCTTGTTGCAGGTTAACACTCTCCAATGGAGAAATTATAATGTCATCATTTTTGTTAAAAAAGCTGCTTTTTTTTTTTAAATTTGAACAGGAAATTACTTTTAAATGCTTTTTAAATTTTTTTTAGTAATGACAATTGTTTCTTGTCCTAATAAACATGTGCGCAGATGCAAGCAATAACAGTACTACTAGCTGGGCATCTCATCAATAGGCACCTATAGCCAAGTTGGTAAAGTGACTCTCTCAGGCTATATTGCTGCCAGGCTGTAAAATGTGTCACAATGTGCCAACTATTATACGTAATCACACACTAAACTTACTCCATGTCAACAAAATTTGGGTGCCAAAATGAAGGAATCCATTGAAAACAGACTATCTGGCAACCCTAATGCCAACCGCCAAATTCAGGGTGAATGCAGAAGCAGAAAAAGCACAACCATTTTCCTGAGAGTGTTAAAAAAATGGCCCTGATATAACATGTTCACAGCAGTGATCTTGAATGGAAAGAACTTATAAAACAATTCAGTCAAAGAAGGTTTTATATATCCATAATGCAGATAATTTTTGACTCTATCTGACATTTAACAAAGTCACTGGTCAGCTTGGCAGAATATCACACACATTGCTGGCATTTTGCCAAAGTCTCCTAAGTGTGTTTTTCACCTTAACACATTTTCAAGACTGTTATTTGTCACTTTAAAATATGCCAAGGGCACATATGTGAATTCCTATCAAAGATAGTTCAAAATGAAGTATTACTTATCATGCTTTTACACAATTTTGACTTGCCACTCAGTGTTCAACCACGACCTCTTGAAACAAGGAGTTAGCACAAATGACTTCAACAAAGTGTCAACGAATAATCAAGGGGCAAAAATCACGTCTTTCTAGCCAGCAGAAAAAAAATCTAAAGCCGCAAACACCCCGAGATTTGAACTTTTCACCGGCATTTATGTCTACATTGGCACATTGTCGTCAGCCAAATAATAGATTAAAATCACAGTGTTTCTTAGCTTTCAATTGTTCTGTTGTCTAGTGTGTTCCCTGATTTATATGTACTTCCTGTGTTTTCTATGAGTACAAATAAATACTTGGGAGTTTATTTCTGATGTAATTCGTGCCTGAAGGGATGTTCCTGAAATACATATACTGATTGTTATTTCACACTGTTGGAGATGTAAGCTTTTTACATGAATGAAAGGAATATGTACATTTCTAAGCTATTTATAAATACTCAAATAATATATATACAGTTCTAAAATTTATTGCATATTTATTGATTTGTAATCAGCCTATTCAAAGGTTAACACACTCCGCTTATTGAAACAATTTTTCATTTAGAATTATGGAACTTAGCTGTCACTTATAGTGTTTGTTTACAAAAACCGTGTCATTTAGATAACATATATAATGTTTAAAATTATGTCTTGTGTATATCATGGCTTGAGCTTGCATTGTAAAATTATAATGACCTCATGATAATGTCCCAGTGCTGTGATGTCAGTTTGCAGAAATAAATATTGTGCCATGTATTTATAATTGCTAGTGTTTGCATCGTAGCTTTTCAAATCCACAAGTTATAGGTGACATGGTTATCATACGAGGTTCTGAAATGCCACCTTTTGACAAACATATTTCTAACTCCTTCTGTATCCAGCAATTTACTAGACATTTATGTAGCAGATCCACATGCAGTAATCATATCAGACTCTAGTAACATGCTTCAAGAATCACAGCAGGCAGTCTTTGCTCAATCACAGATATATAATAATTTTTGGTTCAAGTAACGTTTCCCGGCTCATACACACTGTGATTGGCTGTTTTTTTTCATGCTTGTTAACCTTTCACATGCATGACGCTCTGTTACAGGGGTGTCAGGTTGTGTTCTCTTATGTATATATTGCGCTTCATGTGAGTGACCAGATACACGTTGTGTTTTACTCATTTTTCTGAGCGGCTGGCGACATTGCGTATATTCTAGCCTTCTCGGACTTCAAGTACAACATGAATTTACTTCATTTGTCAGCTTTGAAGAGCGACCACAAAATGCTAACAGTTGTGAAACAACAGGACATAGACCGCAGTCCCTAGTCAGATCTAGGCTGATATTGGGGGGGGGGGGTGGGGGTGGGGGGGGGGTTTGGTGCTAGATGTACATCTTTTATCTATATCTATATCCTCTTCATGTCACTGCTGACACATAGGGCATTCACAAGTGATCTCTTTTGCAGTGCGTCTGCTGCTTTTCTGCCCATGGTGTCCCATGTCAGTTTAGCATGTCAGTTTACCATGTCAGTTTATCATGTCAGTTTACATTCCTTCATCTTCTGGGGTCGTTAAAAGTGGTCACAACATATCATATAGAGCAGGCGTCATTGCCAGTGAGAACTTTGAAGACAGTACAACCTGACACGACTGTAACAGAGAGTCTCACATGTGAAACGTCAGCAAGAATGAATGAATGGCCAGTCACAGTGTAAATGGGCCAGGAAACATTAGTTGTACCTAATATTATTTTATGAGTCATTAATTCAAAGTACACAGTTTAATACTTGACCTAGTCTTGTTTATATTTTATGTTAGCTGTTGCCTTGTAAAATTCTAATGACAAATGAGCTTATTGAATGCCCTGAGTGCTGTGATGTCGGTTCTTGAATCAACTCAACTCAGCTCAATGACAAAAGAAAAAATTGTTTTAAAGATATCAGTTGATTGCATTCTGCAGTAAGAATGTTCATAGCTTGGACCATTTAGTATTGACTAAAACACAATTGTTTGACACACATAAGTAATTAAAGCAATGTTTCCCCGTTGTAAATTTGAACAAGGAAGACACAAACAATAGATTGCACAATTTATTGTCTGGCATATTTCGCTGTATCTTGTCAGGTGCATACTACAGTAACAATTACATAAATGAAGCAAATAAGTGAATCCTTTATAACTGAAGTACAATTTCAACAATGATCAAACATGACATAAGTAATTGACAAGCATAAATATCCAACACTGTAATAGAAACAAACTATATACCCTAATTATAACTTAGATGGGTTAAGCAGGATAACTGTTTAAATTGCTAACTTTCTACATAAATACTGTAAGTAGCAAATTAAAATGATATTTTGGTGTATTATTTTGAAGTAAAATTATGTTTTACACCTCAAAATATTATATATTCACAATGATCTAGCGAGTGCAGCACATCTGAAAACATGGTTGGTTTTCAAATGTCTGTGAACCTTAGGAGTGAACATGAATTTTCTATATTATGCCACATCGGGTGGTTGGCTGGATAATTCTTCTTCATAGCATTCACCAACTGTAAATTAAAGTGGAAAGTTCTGGTTGTTCATCCACATCTGTACTTTGGCATTGTTCCATATCTTGAGTTTTTTTTATGCACATCAGTTGTACAGATCTAGCTTATTTGTATACAGACTGTTGTTTCCTCGCCTTTTGGGCAAATGCACTCTGACTTCAAAGGAATCATCCCTAATTGTTACAAAAAGTAGTGGGTGTCACTTGCGAATGTTCCTGATACACTGCACACTTGCCAAGTATCTAAGTAGAATCATTGGAGTGACAGTTACAAGTCACCACTCCGGCCCAACAGCAATAGAGGACGCCGGATACATGTTGACCATCAGATTCAATGTATTTCAACATCAGGACAATGAAAGGCATCACGAGACATGATTTTCTATACTGCCACAGTCATTCTCACTAGCAAGGCAACACACACTCACGACGCTCTGGACGACT